TATTTTGTATGTGAGACGCCACCACAGCATGGCTTGATGAGCGGTGTGTAGGTCCTCACCTCAGATCTGAACCCGTGAACCCAGGGCTGCCAAAGCAGAGTGTGCAAACTTAACCACTACACCACCGGGCCAGCCCCACGATCTATGTTTTTTCATAGCACTCAACACCTTGTAACATTGCATTAACTCTAAGATGTCATTGGTTGTAAGCCACATACATCTCAGAATAAGGGATACCGTCTATACTGGTAATTTACTTATTACCTTTAACGCCCGTTTCCCCATTGGAATCTAATCTCCACGGGGGCTGGGATCTTGGTCTGTTTCATTTGTCGCTGTGTCCCCAGCATCTAGGACAGCGCCTGGCATCTAGCAAATACTCAATAAATCTTTAAACAACTCTCTGTGAGCACCCCCTGCTGTAGATTTCCCTGACACAGCAGATGGAGAGTCGGTTTCTCTGCAATAACTCTCACCTCGTCTCCCGTCCTCTTTCTCAGCAGCTGGAATACCCAGTCGGGACCCCTCAGAGTCTCCCCAACGGATTCTGCACCATCCAGTCCTGATGCTAACTCACGTCGATTAAGCGGTCTCTGAGAAGCCTTGCCTGCAAATTCTTAAGTGGCCACACGGTGGTGGTGTGGGCCAACTTTCCCAGCCAAGATCAGCTCTTTTCCCCAGTGAATGAACCGGTCTGTTCATTCGATTTAAATCATTGTGCTCCAACAAAGATTTATTAAGCACCTTCCCCAAGGTAGCACTTTTTTTGTTTATTTAATTTTTAATTTTTAAGCTTTACCTCCCCAGTTTTTTGAGCTGGATCCTGGAACACATCAGGCTGTTTCAAGTCTCCCTTTTGCCCCTGCCGTTCCCGCTGCCTGGGATGCCGACTCCACGTGAAAGGAGCAGAGGAAATGCTTCCCCTGGACTGTCTCCTGCTCAACAGAGTGTGGAAATTAATTAAAGAAACCCTAAATTGGGGTCCTCAAGGCCTGTAGGGGGAGCTCTCAGGCCCTATCACACATCAGTCAATTACACCAAACAGGAAGAGACAGAAGTTGCATCTCCAACAAGATGCAGAAAGTAAAGCTACTTTACAACTGAAGGAAGATTTCTCTCCTCACCCAGCGACAGCTCAGCCAATGAGAAATGCTGCAGCTCAGCCAATGAGGAACACCACAGCTCAGCCAATGAGAAACGCCACAGCTCAGCCAATGAGAAACACTTCAGCTCAGCCAATGAGAAATGCCACAGCTCAGCCAATGAGAAATGCCACAGCTCAGCCAATGAGAAACGCCGCAGCTCAGCCAATGAGAAACACTTCAGCTCAGCCAATGAGAAATGCTGCAGCTCAGCCAATGAGAAGCCATTGCCTCCTTGAACTGTTACTTTCCCCGCAATGGACTTTCTTTTACAATAGCCCCTCTCTCCTCCCCTCTTTTCTCTATAAAAGCAGCTCCCGTCCTTGTTCTCTGGATTTGCCTATGGTTTGCCACAGCATGCGCATCCTGAATTGCAATTCTTTTGGCAATTCCCAAATAAACTCATTTTGAGATAAGATAACAGGCAAATTTGCTTTTTAAGTCCAGTAACTAGACGTCTTCTCAACACACCTCAGCAAATGGCACCAGGATCACCCCCTATTTTGTCACATAGGGGCTTGTGATCAGGTCAACTGCCTCCACCAGACCAGGAGGCCCTCCAGGCAAGGCTCAGGCCTGACCCCTTTCCAGATCTCCAGCCTCGCTCAGCACAATCCTACTGGGGAGGAGGAGAGGCAGGGGGAGGGGGCTCGGGATGTGACTGGACAAAGGATTATCAGATTTTTCAATCCATCATTTTATTTAATTGTCCAGCAACCTTGTAAGAAAGAGATTGTCATTCACATTTTACAGAGGGGGGGAAACAGGAGCGGGGGTGGGGGGAAATGGAGGGGGGCCTGTACAGGCCATACTTGAACCTCAGTCTTCCAGCTCTAGACACCTGGGAGTCAGCTCAGACACCTTGGCTTTCCCTCATCGCCCCTATTACTTTTGCTCGAGTTCCATTGGCCAGAACTCAGTCACGTGGTCACACCTAGCTGCAAGGGCAGCTGGGAAATGTAGTCCACTTGTGTTGCCCAGGTCAAGGGTCTGTATTTTGGTGAATGCTCAGACAGTATTGGACTCACCTGGCCCACAAGCCCTCATGATGGGACTGTGCTCCCTCTGGGATCTTATCTCACATCCTCCCCACCACCTCACTCAGCTCTAGCCACTCTGGCCTCCTTCCTGCGTTTTGAATATGCCCAAATTATTCCTACCTCAGGGCCTTTGCACTGGTTGTTCCCTCTGGCTGGAAGACACTTTCACTCAAGTGTCCTTATGGCTCCCCCTCTCACACACATTACCTCTGGAAGGTTTATTTGGGCCGAGGGGCCATTTTATTTCCACCATAACTGGGGTAGCTGCAGTCATTTCCTGGACAGGGGTTGAGGAGTTAGGCACATAGAAAGCTTAAATGTTCTGTTGGACGTTCCATCAAAAATTTGTTGCATAATCATCTGACTTTCAGCCTACTGTATTTCACATATAATTGCCAATCTACTTTCTGACATGACTTTAATATACCCTAAATTTTCTTGGGGTGCAGCTCGTATATATACCAAGGAAAGATTATAGTTTGTCTTATTGATGATTTTATTAAGACTCGGCCACAGTTTTGGAAAAGTCGCATCCCCCCCCCCCCCCCCCCGCCCCCAGCAATGCTGCCTGAGGCATTTGGGTTGGTGATACAGCACTCCTGTGTCAGACTGAACTGTGGCCACGTGTTCGCAGTAATTCTGTATGTTCAAGTGAGATCTGCCTGCCCTACTGTTTCTCCTGTGTACTTATGTTGAAGTACGATCTCTTTAGCTTCCACTTATTCATCTTTTGTATTGCAGTTGGTGAAGTCAAATGATCATTTATTGTTGTTGTGGACATAGTTCAGCTATATTATCTCTGGATTTCACTTCCGAAGAGTAAAGGCAGAAGTCCACGTTACAAATTATTTGTGACAAAAAGAAATAGAACTAGCCGTCAGGGAAGTGCAAATTAAAACCACAGGGAAATATCGCTTCACACCCACTAGGATGGCTATGAGAAAAAAGACAGATAGTAGCAAGTGCTGGCGAGGATGCGGAGAAATTGAACTCTTCCCACACTGCTGGTGGGAAATCAAACGGGGCGAGCAGCCTGGCAGGTCCTCCAAAGTTAAATGTCGAGTTACCATATGGCCCAGAAACCCACTCCTGCATATATACCCAAGAGGAATGGAAACATAGGTTTACACAAAAACTCCTACAGGAAAGTTCATGGCAGGACTACAATCGACAATAGATACAACCCAAATAGCCATCGACTAGCGAACGATAAATAAACTGGCGTATCCTCATCATGGAATAGTATTCAGCCAGAAACAGACAGGAAGCACTGAGAGACGACGCTACAACAGAGATGGACCTGGGAAACATTATGCTAAGTGAAAGAAGCCAGACACGAAAGGACATATATTCTAAGATTCCATTTATAGGAAACGTCCAAAATAGGCAAATCCATAGAGACAGAAGGTAGATCAACGGTGGCCTAGGGCTTGAAGGACGGGGGGATTGGGGGTGACTGTTAGGAGGTATGGGGTTCCTTTGGGGGGTGACAAAAGAGTTCCTGAATTCCTCGTGGTGACGGTTGCGACAATCCTGTGAATATACTAAGAGCTGTTGGACCGGACACTTTAAATGGGGGAATTGTCTCAGTATGTGAGTTACTTTTCAATCAAGCCGTTACCAGAAAATGAGAGGATATTGGATCAGTTACAAATGAGAACATCGGGCTGCAGTTAGCGTCAGATAACAAAATTGGCGCAGCCCGGATGCTCAGTCACCCCAGGCACTGCCTGTCGCGAATCCTCACGCCCTTCATAAGAAATACGAATGGTTCCCCCCGTTTTACAGGTGGGTCCACCGAGACCGAGAGTGACGCGATTTGTCCCAAAACCGTTGTAATTCCTCTTCAGCTTATTTCAGTCTTTTGCAACTTTTCTAATAGTGAAAAGTTAAAAACGACTTCAAACTTCCACAGGAATAAACTTAGCTCCCACACACTGGGCTCCCCATTTTGAACCTGGCCCGGTCCAGGCTTTTTGCCTCATTTCATCGTAACGAGAACGTAATAAACTCTTGTCCCCATTGTACAGATGAGGAAACTGAGGCACCGGGAGGGTTAATAGCTTGGCTCAACATTGCACAGCGAGGAAGCGACAGAGAGACTGGTTCAGCCAGCCCCGTGTAAACCACTCATTTTACTGGTGACATCTTGGGATGGAAAATTCCACAGCTTCCACGCCAGAATGGACAAAACAAGCTACAAAAGAGCGTGGATCACACATTTCAGTTTTTAAAAAAATGCATATATGCTCAATATAAATCTGATAATCATTGGGGGAAAGACTTTGGAACAATTTCCATCTTCTACCTGTTCAACTGTGTTGAGTTTTCTTTAAAAGCTATTATTTTTATCTTTTTGGTAGGGGAAGTTACACTTTTTTTTTTAAGTTCTTCCTATCACGAAGTTATTTTTTTAAATACATTTTTTCTAGGTCTAGGTTTGTAAATTCATGTATTGAAACCCAACCAGCAGCGCACCTCCAAAATCAGAAAACTTCTAACAACCAAAAAAAGTACAAACACGCTTTAAGTCAGCCGTGTGCAAAAAGGAGCTAGGGCTGGGGACCTGCGTGCCGAGTCAATGCTTGGCTGCGAGCCCAGAGAGGCACAGGGTTGAGTTAAAGCCACACAGCGCAGGGCGGGAAGGTTTGGGACTGGCCACGCCCCCTTCCGGCCCAGCGTTTGATTGATGGGTCCGGAACTCTTCTGCCCCGCCCCAGCGGAGCTACCTTCCGGTGGGTCCATGACTTCCGTGCGGGGCAGCCGATTTGGCTCTTCCTAGGCGGACCGGAAGTCCGTCCATTCTGACTCCCCGCCCTTTTCCGGAAGTGACGCACGGTGGGGTTGCCGGAAGAAGTGGCGAAGTTACTTTTGAGGGGACCCGAGCAGCGGCGGCGTGCCAGGGGACGCGGAGGAGGAGGAGGAGAGGCAGAGCAAGGGGCCGGAGGCAGGTGCACTGGAGGGTGGGGAGACGCGGGAGGAGCCGCGGGCCCGGGGCTTCCCGGCGTCCCCCGCGCTGCTCCGCTCAGCCCCCTCCTCTCCTGCCACCCTCTCCCCTCCTTAGCTCGCGCCGCCTCCGGCTGTTTCCAGGGCAACGGGAGTAGGAGACCCCGCGAGAGGCCGCCCACGAGACCCTCGCGCGCAGCCATGAGCCCCGCCCCCCGCTGGTGTTCGGAGAGGGGCGGGACCTGGAGCGAGGTGTGGGGGCGGAGCATGCTGGGAGGAGGTGGGGCGGGGGCTGTGGGCGGAGTGAGGGTGGAGCCTGGAAGGGAGGGGGCGGGACCTAGAAGAGATGGGGGCGGAGCGTAGCGGGAGGAGGTTGGGTCAGGATGAGAGATGGGGGGGCTTCCTGGGCACAGGTGAGTGGAGTCTAGGTAAGAGACTTGGGGCGAAACTGGGTGGAGCCGGATTCAAGCAGAAGGGGGGGTGCGGGGTCCCTGGGAAGAGCGGGTGGGCGGGGCCTTGAGTGGGCGGGGCCTACAGGAGGGCGGGGCTTGCGGCCCAGCAGGAGGCTGTCCTGGAGTAGAAGGGGGCGGGCCCTGTTAGAATTGCAGGGGAGGGTTTGCAGGCGGGCTGGGGGCGGGGTCTGTGTGCAGTAGGGGAGGCGCCCCCATGTAGAGCTGTGGCTGGCCTAACCTGACCCTCCCTGGCCCCACAAGGCTCTCAGTCCCCCTGTATTGTGCAGGTTGCTCCGTGACCCCACCATGTCCACCCCTACCACGAGTTCCCAGGACTCCCCCTTGCCTGGTGAGTGACCCGCTTCCCAGCCCAGCCCCCCCATCCCACACCTCTCAGGAGAAACTCACTGTGCCTCCCTCTCTCAGGAAATGGCCCCCCTCAGCCCAGCGGCCCCTCCTCTTCACCCGCTGTAAAGGACGAGGGTCCTGAGCCGTGGCCCGGGGGTCGGGACCCCGATGTCCCAGGCACTGATGGGGCCGGGTCCGCCTGCAGTGTGGGTGAGACGGGGCCCAGGGACGTGGCTGAGAGTTGGCATGGGGGCTCGGGGAGGGATCTTGCGAAGGGACAAAGATCAGAATGGGGATGGGAGGCCCCAGCTTCTTGTTGATTTTGTTTCTTCCATTCCCCCTTGAAACCTCTTGTTTTGATTCATGCTTTGGGGTTCACTATACACATCTTTCTCTCTGAATCGCCGTCTGCCCGGCTCACCCTCCCTACTCCGACTCTCTGCCCCCGATCTCACATGGGCCTGTCCCTCTGGCTGCTGTTTCTCTCCGTGGCTCTGCCCCTCATGGCCTCTGTCCACCCACCGCAGTCATCCCGGACCCAGCGGAGGAGCCGGAGCGCAAGCGCAAGAAGGGCCCGGCTCCGAAGATGCTGGGCCACGAGCTGTGCCTCGTGTGCGGCGACACGGCCTCGGGCTTCCACTACAACGTGCTCAGCTGCGAAGGCTGCAAGGGCTTCTTCCGGCGCAGCGTGGTCCGAGGCGCGGCCGGGCGCTACGCCTGCCGCGGGGGCGGCACCTGCCAGATGGACGCCTTCATGCGGCGCAAGTGCCAGCAGTGCCGGCTGCGCAAATGCAAGGAGGCCGGCATGAGGGAGCAGTGTGAGTGCCGGGGAGGGCGCCCTGCCGGCCTGGCCGCTGCCCAGCCCTGGGGCCCCTGCTGAGGCCTGTGTCTCCCCCACAGGCGTCCTCTCGGAAGAACAGATCCGGAAGAAGAAGATTCGGAAGCAACAGCAGCAGCAGCAGCAGCAACAGTCACCCAAAGGGCCGGGGGTCAGCGGCAGCGCCGCCTCGGGGCCTGGGGCCTCCCCCGGAGGGTCGGACAGCGGTGGCCAGGGCTCCGGGGAAGGCGAGGGTGTCCAGTTAACAGCGGCTCAGGAACTGATGATCCAGCAGTTGGTGGCGGCCCAGCTGCAGTGCAACAAGCGCTCCTTCTCGGACCAGCCCAAAGTCACGGTACGACCCCTTCCGCAGCCTTGGGGTGGGGGGCCCGGCGGGGCTGCAGCCCAGGCCCTGGGGGGGGACTGGGGCTCTGGAGGGCAGGGCCTTCGAGGGGAGGGTCTCCTAGGGTGCAGGCCTTGCCTCAAGATGCCCCCATGGCGTTGGGCTCAGGGAAGGAGTCTCGTGAGTCACCCTGGCCCTCGTGTCCCCAGCCCTGGCCCCTGGGCGCGGACCCCCAGTCCCGCGACGCCCGCCAGCAGCGTTTCGCTCACTTCACGGAGCTGGCCATCATCTCAGTCCAGGAGATCGTGGACTTCGCCAAGCAGGTGCCTGGCTTCCTGCAGCTGGGCCGTGAGGACCAGATCGCCCTGCTGAAGGCATCTACCATTGAGGTAACGGCCAGCCCGCCCATCCTCATCAAGGCCCTTCCTGCCTCTGCACGGGGGAACCACAGAGATGAGCCCCAGGACGGAGGCTGGGCCCAGAGGGACGAGCAAGGCTCTGCCAGTCCTCACCTTCGTAGGGGATCACATCCTACGGGAGCATGTCAAAATACTAAACAAGAGAATCAGAGCTTCCCAGGAGCCAAGGAGAGAAAGGAAATGGGCTGAGGCTGAGAATAAAACTGAGGATTGGGCTGGAGGGGCATGCTTTAGAGAATGTGCTGAAAGGGCTATTCAGAGAGTTGACGTTTGAACCAAAACAACGGTCACGAGTAAATACTGAGTGCCTAGAGGATGTCAGGCTCCATTGGAAGTGTGGGGCCTGTGGCGGTGAACGAACCACACAGAAATCCCTGCCCTCATGCCTCGTAGCCAGCTGGGGAGAGCGTCCTGGGTGGAGGGGCTGTGGGTGCTAAAGCTGGAGGAGGGAGAGAGCTGGGAGTCTGACACAGGCTGGTGCGGTTGAGAGAACCGGGGGCGGGGGTCAGAGGGCCAGGGCCGATCCTGGCAAGGCCAGGTCCCCCATTCAGGCCAGGAGAGGAGGGACCGGTGGCTCAAGGCTCACAGGGACCCCTCGTGGCCCTGTCCACCGCCCTGCCTGCTGTCCCCAGATCATGCTGCTGGAGACAGCCAGACGCTACAACCACGAGACAGAATGCATCACTTTCCTGAAGGACTTCACCTACAGCAAGGATGACTTCCACCGCGCAGGTCTGGCCCAGAGCGGCTGGCGGGGGGGGGGGGGGGGGGGGGGCTGGGGCGCCCTGCTGGCTGCGAGACCTCGGGCTGGCTCATCCCTGTCTGAGCCTCCAGTTGTTTATCTCCAAAGCAGGGTGAGCGTTGAGCCAACCCTGAAGCAAGATAAGAGCACATTTATCGAGTGCCACTCTGTACAGCGGAACGCAGTGCAGGACAAGACAGGTCTCTGCTATCACGTGGGGCATCTCGGTGGGAAGGAAAACAAGACACTCTCTCCTCCCCGAACCTGGTCCTGCCCGAGGGAGGCTGGATCTTGGTCCATTGTGAAGTGCGCAACCTGCCCAACTGTACAGGGCAGCCCTAGTCCCTGCCCTCAAAGAGCACTAAATGGGAGATGTGCCCCAGGTGGTGGGCTTCTGGACAAAGTGCAGTTGAGCTGAGGCCTGAGGGGTGAGAGGCATCGCCTAGGCAAAGGGAGGTGGGGAGTACCATTGCCCACCGCATGTGCAAAGGCCTCGCTCCCTTGGCCTCTGGGCTTTCTCAGTAAGTCCTCCTCTTTCCTGGCATCTGTCCCTGAGACACCTCTCTGTACTCCCACCCTCTGCTCCTAACCCCACCTTCTTTCCTTTCTCTGACTCCTGGCCCTTCCAACACCCAAACAGTCCCAGTAACTCCTAGGGTATGAACCTGGCAGGGGAGCATTGTAGGGGGAGAGTGTTTCTTGGGGGGGGGGGGTCAGCATGTGCAAAGGCCCTGAGGTGGAGGAAGAGCTGGACAGTTTTAAGGACCTACAGGAAGGCCCACCGCCACAATCCAAGCCTCAGTTGTGTGTCCCTGGAACCTTGCTGAGGTCCCTCATGGGCTGCCTCCTCCACCCCTGCCAGTGTGTCTGTTCACATGGCAGTCAGGAGGACCCTATCCACACCCGAGTCAGCTCACGTCCCTTCTCGGCTCAGAACCCTCCGTGGCTCCCGTCTCACTGGGAGCAAAGCCACAGTCCTCACCGTGACCCACCCTCTCCCGTCGCTCACCCTCCTCCGGGCCCACTGGCCTCCTCCCTCTTATTTAAACCCACCACATGTGCTCCTGCCTCGGGGCTTTTGTTCCTGCTGCGTGTGCCCTCTGCCCAGAAGTTGGGTGACCAGCTTGTCCCAGTTTGCCCAGGACCTTCCCACTTTTGACACCAAAAGTCGTGTGCCCCAGGAAGCTGGCCGTCCCCGGGAAAACAGACGGTGGTCCCATACCCGGAGCACTTAGGCATCCTCATAACTCGCTCTCTCTCCGCCTTCAGGTCATTGCTTAAAGGTCACCCCACGGGGACCACCTTTGCCGAGTGTCCACGTGACTCTCAGTGGCCCCTACTCTTGCCTGTGTTACCTTCATTCGTAGAAGTCCAGAGGGTTAACTTCTGTGTCTGTTATCTGTCCCCTCCACTCCCAGATGTAAGTGCCACAGGAGGGGACCTTGTCTTGTAAACATCTCTGCCCAGCGACCTGGCGCAGAGTAAATGCCGCTGAAGTTTGATGAAGGAAGGAGTCCCTCTTGGAAGCCATCGCAGGGGGTGACACAATGTGACCTAGGTTTAAAACTCTTTCCTTTTCCTGAGAAGAGGTCCCAGGAAGCCAGAAAGGAAGCGAAGGGGTTGATGGGGTGTTTCTAATCCTGAATAAACGTTCGCCCCCCCTTACTCATTCCCTCATTCGGGCAAGGTTTGTGGCGCACCCACTCTACTGTGCCGGGCAGTGGGGACACAGAGGGAACAGAAATGACAAGAGCAGTGTCGTTGGTGCTGTTTTCCTCGCCCCGCGGACAGCGGGCAGGTCAGGGGCCGGTGTCGGGCCGGGGATGCTGACCGGGGCCTCCTGCCCCGCAGGCCTGCAGGTGGAGTTCATCAACCCCATCTTCGAGTTCTCGCGGGCCATGCAGCGGCTGGGCCTGGACGACGCCGAGTACGCCCTCCTCATTGCCATCAACATCTTCTCCGCCGACCGGCCCAACGTGCAGGAGACGAGCCGCGTGGAGGCCCTGCAGCAGCCCTACGTGGAGGCCCTGCTGTCCTACACGCGCATCAAGAGGCCACAGGTGCGGCCACCTGGAGCCCCGCCCCTCCTGGCAGAGCGGGTGCCACCCAAGCCTCGGGGTGGGACAGGAGGTCGAGGTCCACATGGGGTCAGCCCGGCACTGGGGTCTTGCTTCCTCGTCTGAGCCCCGCCCCCAGCCCCCCTGGCAGCTCTCTGAGCCCTGGCTGATGTCCCCTCAGCGTTCTGTCCTCAGGCCCCCTCCCCAAGGAGCGAGGAGTCCAATCATAGGGGTAGGGGGGCCCCATGCTCTGCCCAGCCCTCCCCACACGGGCTCGGCCTGGGGAGTGGGTGGCCCGGGTGGGCTGGCAGGTGCCCACCTCCCTCCGGCTCCCCCGCAGGACCAGCTGCGCTTCCCCCGCATGCTGATGAAGCTGGTGAGCCTGCGCACGCTGAGCTCCGTGCACTCGGAGCAGGTCTTCGCCCTGCGGCTACAGGACAAGAAGCTGCCGCCTCTGCTGTCGGAGATCTGGGATGTCCACGAGTGAGGGGCCTGGCCACCCCGCCCCACAGCCCCGCACCCTCCGCTGAATGGACACTGTCGCCCCTTCCTCCTCCTAGGGTGGGAAGGGGCCAGGGCTGGGCTGGGGGTCCCACCCTGTGGCTTGAAGCGCAGGCCCTGGCCCCGCCAGCCCTTGGCCCTCAGGATGAGCCCCACTCGGGGTCCAGGACGCTCCCTCCCTGTCCACCAGTCTTCCTGGGGGGGAGGGATGGGTCACAGGTCCCGCCCTCTGACCTCTCCAAGCACTCCCAGCTGGCCTCCCCACCCCAGCTTCCACCTCAAGCCTACCGCGCAAAGCACCTTGAACAGAGGGAGAGGAGGCCCTGTGGCTCCCCCGCAGCCTGAGAGACCAGAGGCCCCCTCTCCCACTGCTCCTTTTATTTAATAAAACTAAAAAAACCCACAAAAACAGGAAAATAAAATATGAATAGAAACCTGCCCGCAGCCAGAGTCAGTGTGAGATGCAAAGGGGGTGGGCTGCCGGGGTCTTCGTGGACATGGCCCCACAGATGGGACCCGAGGCCTCCCTGGTGCTGGGCTCATGGGGTGTCAGCTACAGACTTTCCGTCCACGGTGATGTGACTGGGTGCCGTGGGGGCCCAGGAGAGGCCCCTGACAGCCTCGGGGTCACCTCCCAGGACAAGGTGAGTTGGAGCCCACTCCTGATCAACGAGGAGGATTTAAGTGGATGAGGGGGTGGGGCCTTCCATCAGTCAACATGTACTTGCCGAAGCCACTTGTGGGCTGGGCGGGCACTCTGCTGGCCATTCTGGGGACACAGATGTCATCCATCCAACAGACGGAGGGGGCATTTACTGTGACCCAAACACAAGTTTAGGCACTGGAAACAGCCGACAAGATGAAGTCCCAACTGGGAGGTGGGTACCAGTCAGCCTGGCAGTGGGGGGATGGATGCACAGGGACAGCTAGAATGTCAGGGAGTAGGGGCTCTAGTGGGGGCAGCACAGGGCAGTGTGGGAGCCAGAGGAGGAAGTCGGCAACCCTCACGAAGGAGGCCACGTCCTAGCTGGACCTAAGTCGTGAGACCCAGAGGGCTGGGCCCCCAAGTTGCAGGAAGGGCACGTGCCAGGTCTGGAAGGTGAAAAGCCCCCGTGAGTTCAGAGTACAGACAGCCGGGGGGTTCTCCTAATTCCTCCTCCCCTGTGCCAGGCCCTCGGGGGCCCCGGCGTGAGTGGGATGGACAGTCCTGGGCCCTGGTCGAAGCGGGAGGAGGGGTTGCTTGAAGGGATGGGCTGGGTCCCGAAAGGTAGGTTTTTTAGGGCGGAAGTGAGAGCAGTTACAAGCCATCGCCCCATTCCGAGCGGCGCGCCTGGCACCCCCTAGGTGTGCCCGCCCTGCCCAGAGTCTAGTCTACAGATGGGGAAACTGAGGGTGTGAGACAGGAGAGCAAACTGGGCAGGGACCTGGGCGCGCGTGTGCCAGCCTCTGCGGGGCGGACGGACACCACGCCGCTGGGGGAAAGACGGACAGCGCCCAGGACCCGGCCTCGGGCAGGAGGCGGGCGGGGGAGCGGGGGATGCGCGCGCAGCGCCCGCGGGCGGGGGTGGGGCCAGGGCCGCGGGGCGCGCAGGCCGCACGAGGTCGCGACGCAGCCTCAGGGGGGCGTGGCTTTGGGACGCACACGACCGAGGGGGCGGGGCTTGGCGAGGATTCGTCGTGAGGGAACGAGGCCACGCCCCAAATGGGGGAGGGGCGTGGCCTGTTCCTCACTGGTAAGGACGGGGCGTGGCCAGATGCCACTTGGGGGCGTGGCCTCGCCCTACTTGGGCGCGAGGGGCGTGGCCTGGCTGGCGCGCGGCGGCTCTGGGCCTGCGCGCGCCGGAGTCAGAGGTCGCGGCGGCGGCGGCTGTGGCGGGAAACGGCGTTTGAAGCGGGTGAGCAGAGGGAGACGGGGAATGGCAGGGGACGTGGCCTGGCAGGGAGCGGGGCTGGAGGAACCGGGGACCTAGGCCGGAGAGAGGGTCGAGAGGGGTCGCGTGGCGGCGGGGGCGGCGTCCCCGTGGCTCGGGGCGCGCGGAAGAGGGGCACGGCCCTCCGTCTCCCGGGTGCGTGCGGGGGGCGCGCGGGGGATGACGGGGCAGGGGTCCCTCGGCGCGCGGGGGGCGCAAGAGCAGGGCGCCCGGCCCCCGGGGGCGGGGCGGGGTGGGGACGCGCCCTGGAGGATCTGTGGGGCGACGGGATCCCGGAGGCACAGGGGGGCTGCATGGGGCACGTGGGGGCGTGGTGTCGTCCTTTATTCACCAAATACTGGGTACTGTGTGCCAGCCACTGTCCCAGAAGCAGGGGCTACAGCCCGAATAGGTCAGACGGTAGACAGATAATGACGGGAAAGCAATGCTTTCAGGCTGTGATGCGTTACTCGAAGTGAAGTAATACAGAGTAGCCTGTTTCTTTAGCTGGAGGGGTCAGGAGTCGCTTCTTTGGGGAAGTGACATTTGAGAGAGAAGTCAGCCGTGTAGAGGAAGATCCGGCTAGGGGGACCATCAGGTGCAAAGGCCCTGGGGTAGGGAGGAGCTTGGTGTGTTTGTAGGTGGAGCCAAGGGAACCGGTGAGGTTGAGGACGGGATGGGGAGCCAGATCTTGCGGGGCCTTGGAAATCTTGGTGGGGGCTCTGGCTTTTGTTCTAAGTTCGATAGGGAGCTGGAGAAGGTTTGGAGCATCAGAGCAACCTGACCCTCCCACCCGCCTACCCTGCGTTTTGAAAAATTCACTGGCTGCCGAGTAAAGATGGGATTGTAGCAGGAGCAGGAGGGGAAGCGGGGAGACCAGTGAGGAGGCGAGAGGGGGTAGCAGGTGGCCCAGCCTACAGCGCAGGTGGAGAGAATCTGCCAGGCTTAAGCTGTCTGGGGGGTTTGAACCGGCAGGGGTGTAGGGCAGAGGACCCCCAGGTGGCCGGGCTTTGTGGTTTGAGCAACAGGCTGGATGGAGGGGGCTGAGGGAGAGCAGATTTGGGGGCCACGCTGAGGGCCGAGCTGGGGTGCAGTGGGTGGGCTGGGTGACATCAGGGTCTCAGCTTCGTAGCCCCACCCGCTCCAGGAACCTCGAGTTACCTCGTCTCTCCTCCTCCATCCTGCCCTTCGCCGCCCAGGCCTCCCCTGACTCTTAGAGCCGTTCCTCCCGCGCTCAGGGCCTTGGGCATGCCCTTCCCTCCTCTGCAGCGCTCTTCCCTCTCTCTGGTCCTTCGGTCAGCTGCCCTCGTGGCAGGCCCTTTGCTGGGCCCTGGGGAGCCACTGATTGTTCAGTTTGGTTGAGGAAGGAGAGATCTCAGCGCAGGGTGCTCTGAGCTGTAACGAGGCAGCGCTGGTCTTTGGGAGCCGAGAGAAGCCGGGGCTTGGGGAGGACTCGTGGAGCTGATGACACTCGAGGGGAGTCTGAACGGACACGACCTGAAGTGGCCCGCGTTCCCGGCGCTGTCCTGGGGGACGCTGGGGACCCCGGCTCCAGCGAGACCCTGACCCCTGTTTTTGAGGAGCTCACGGCCTGACGCAGGCCCAGCTCGTGGTGCACGAGCAGTGGAACAAGCGTGCAGAAAGTAGTGCGAGGCGCTGTGCGGGCCCCGAGGGCCGGCCGATCGGCCGCAGGGTTGACCTGGAGCTGAGTCTCTGGGGAGGCAGGGGAGCTGGGCGGCCAAGAGAAAGGAGGGTTTCGTGCAGCACACGCTTCCCTGGTCAGGCCTGTGCTGGGCGATGCGGGGGGCCCGGAGAAGCACCACACCCTTCCCTGCCCGTGAGGGGGTCAGACACAGGCCCAGATGGTCGCCGGCCTGTGACAAGGACAGCGGGGGTCAGGGAGGCCCGGAGGAGGGACAAGGCCAAAGCGTGAACAGTGCGACACTTTCAAGGGGCAAGAGGCAACAGTCCCATTGTAATTATTTAATCGTTCCCTCAGCAGATGTGGGCGCGCCCCAGAACGGGGGGGGTGGGAGGGGGGCAAGCAGGTGGATCCATCTTCCGTGTGTCACCCCTGGGCAGAGGGCACTTTCCCCCGTGTCTGGCCTGGCACCTGGGGGCTGGCAGTTTGGAGTGCCGGGTAACAGTGGGCTCTGGAGCCAGCCACCCCTCTGAGCTAGCTCTGCCACCTCGGGCAGGTAGCTTCACCTCTCTGGGCCTCCGTTCTGGTCATTGCATTGGAGGCTAATAGCAACGCCTGCCTCAGAAGTTTCTTCATTCACAAAATGTTTATTGAGCGTGTCCTCCGTCCCTGGCGCTCTTCTGGGTACATGAGAGATGGCAGGAAGCACGACAGAGCCCTCGGCACCCATTCTCCTGGGGACAGATGGTAAACAAGACACAGGAGCAGCGGTTCTCAGACTTGAGCTGTATTGGACACCCTGGGGGGCTGTTACCACACAGGCTGCTGGGCCCACCCCCCAGAGGGCCCAATTCAGTCTGTCTGGGGTGGGGCCTGACAGTTAGCATCTCAGCAAGTTCCCCTGCAAAGCTCAGGCTGCCAGGTCGTGGACCACACTGAGAACTCTGAGAACTGGTACAGCACACCAGACAGCGACAAGTGTCATCGAGGAAAATAGAGCCAGGAAAGGGGTTGTTGAGGATGTTGAGGGTTGTTATAGGATGAATACCTATAACTATGTCTGTGAAAGTGCCCTTATGAACACATGTTGACAAAGTTATTGTTCTCCTGCCTCCGGGGCCACAAGCCACGCTTGTAAACAGCCTCACTGTGAAGGTGACACCGGAGCAAAGACCCGAAGGAGGGGAGGGAGGAAGCCGCGGGGGCGTCTGAGGAAAAGCACTTGGCAGGGTAGAGGGAACAGCCTGTGCAAAGGTCCTGAGGCAGGACCCAGCCTGGACTGTCTAAGGAACAAAGAGGAGGCAAGTGGTTGGAGCTGAGTGAGCAGGGGGGAGGGGGAGGTGGTGTCTGAAAGGGGCTGGGGGCGGTCATGCAGGGTCTTGTGGGCTATGATGAGGACTTTGCTTTAACTCTGCCCAAGATGGGACCTGGGGATGGGCTTTGAGCTGAGGAGGGACAGGCTGATGGGGCGTGTCTCTACAGGAGCCCTTTGGCTGCCGTGTGGAGAATACGCTGACGAGGGCGGGGTGGAATGAGGGGCACCGTAGGGCTGCGGACGCTGTGCATTCATTGAACAGACATTTCTTGAGCCCTCTCTGTGCCAGGCTCTGTGATGGAGACACGCGGATCCCTGCCTGCACGGAGCTCGTGTTCCAGCAGGGGGAGACAGGCCGACAGCAATGCACGGGAGAAAGGAGCCGCGGTCCTAGAACCAGAGGGACCGGCAGGGAGCGGCACGGGGGCTGAGAAGCCAGGGTCAGGACTGTGGGAGTTGCAGATGGAGCGAGCATGAGGGCCGAGGGGAAGGACGAAGCTGGGGGGCTCCGAGGTGGTTGGCCTGGTGGGAGCTGCTGTTGACTGAATGGAGGGAGCCGGTGGGGGCAAGGAGCAGGTGTCGGGGGAGGTCAGGAGCCCAGCTCATGTCTGAGATGCCTGAAGAGACAGCCTCACCACCCTGGGGCAGGCGGTTGATCTGCCTGCCTGGCGCCTGGGGAGGGGGCTGGGCCGGAGACAAAGGCAGGAGTGAGGAGCCGAGGGATGGCATTTAACGCCAGTCAGTGAGATGGGACGAGAACATCGAGGGGGGAGCAGCACAGAGACACTCCCACGTGACCCAGGCGGGCACTCAGTGTGGTGTCATTGCTGCACTGGCTGATCAGTATTTGCTGCCGAAGGATCGAGCAAGGGAGCGCACGGCGCCTGCCAGCCATGCTCCTGTCCTGTTCTGGGGCGGCCGAGCAGGGGCGCCCCGGGGCCTCCTCCCTCCCCAGGCTGCCTCGCCTGACTGTGCACTGTGGACGGTGCCCGGGATGCGGGACCAGCACGGGAAGCTAGACTTTGCTCCTGGTAACACCGTCCCTGCCACCACAGCCCCTGGCCTCAGCCCCTGACCCAGGGCAGCCAGTCGGCCCCCTTCCACCTCCCTCCGCTCCCTCTGCCCGAGCCAGGCCTCTCCCACACGTTGTTACCCTCTGTGTCTCTGGCCTCGTGCACGGCTGGAGCCAGGCCTTCTGGCTCTTTCCTTCCTGTGAGCTAAGCCACGTGTGCACACAGTTCGCACCCCAAAGGTGCGGAGGGAGGGTGGGTTCAGAGTCTTCTGGACGCAGCTTGCGTACACTCGGTTGTAGCCCTGTTCGCGGCAGCCAGAAGGTGCGGACACCCCCTGTTCCCCAGGGGGGCGGGCTGGACACGGTGTGGTGGGAGCTGCCCGTGGGAGGCTGTGCGGGCGTGAGAGGGATGCAGCACCCTCCCAGCTGCAACCCGGCGGGCCTTGCAAACATCATCCTCAGGAAGGGAAACCCCACGCGAAAGGATGCGGATCCTGAGATTCTGTTTAGAGGGAATGCCCAGCGTGGCAAGTTATGCATCAGGACAGACAAAGGAGATGAGGGGTTGCTCCGGGCTGGGGCAGGATGGGCTGAGTGTAGGGTGACAGCTGATGGGTGCGGGTTGTCTTGTTGGGGTGATGATTCTATCAGTAAACCTATCTCCGCATCCCCAGCCAGGAAACCAGTGTTAGCAGTTTATTGCTTGCCCTTCCAGAATTATGCATCAGTAGCAAACATATTTATACATATTCTCCAGCCTACCTTGTGCAAATGTTTGTCTTTTACGTATTTCCCGCCACTTTTTTTGATTTTTTTTTTTTTTTTGCTTAGGAAGACTGGCCCTGAGCTAACATCCATGCCCATCTTCTTCTACTTTATATGTGGGACACCTACCACAGCACGGCTTGATGAGCAGTGCATAGGTCCACACCTAGGATCTGAACTGGCGAACTCTAGGCTGCCGAAGCGGAATGTGCGAGCTTAACTGCTGCACCACCAAGCCACCCCCCCCAACTTTTTATTTGGAAAATTTTCAAGCCTGTAGAGAAGTTGTAGGACAAAGATGATGAACATCCACGTACCCCTTGCTGGGAGTCACTGATTGTTAACGCATCACACACATACACACAGTGTTTTCTTTTTTGACTGAACTATTTGAAGGTTGTGGTCATCATGATACTTGGCCTCCAAACACTCCAGCAGATGTCTCTTAGAATGAGGACACCCGCCTACGTAACTACAGTACAGTTATCATAATCAGGCCATTTATGAGAGACGGCGCTGTCGTCTCATTGACAGTTATTCACTTTGCCCTGTGGTTCCGGTAATATCGTAGCTATTTTCAATTTTTTAATCTAAGATCCGATCTGGGATTACCCCTTGCGTTAGTTATGGCTCCATAGTCTCTCCTTTAATCTAAAACAGTTTCCTGGCCTTTTTTTTGTTTTTTAAATACAAGAGATAGCACTGTATGTACACCATCCCTCACCTCGCCTCCTCTGCCTAACAATGCGGCTTTGAGAGCCCCGGTGTCGGCACAGAGAGCTTCCTCATTCCTGTATCCAGCTGCATAGTATTCCGTGGAGCGGAATTACTGTGGCTCAGGGAAACAGTGCTCCAGGGGAGGACATTTAGGTGGTTTCCAGACTTTTGCGATCGCAAACAATGCTGCCGGAAATAACCTTGTAAAGGCAGGTTTTCCTTATCTGATAATGTGTCTGCAGCGTGAACCCCTAGATGTGGAACTGCCACTTCCCCGCTTTTGTGTTTTCTCTTGAGGTGTAATTTACATAGAGTGAAAGCACAGGCCTCAAGAGGACAGCTGGATACACATTGCCCTCGTCCCAGAAAATTCCTTCCGGCTCCTTGCCTGTCAATTTCTCCCACCCCAGAAGCAGCCACTAGCCTGATTTCTGGCACCATAGATTAGTCTATTCTAGAATTTTCTGTAAATGGCATCCTACGATATATACTCTTTTAATTGAGATGAAATTAACCATTTTAAAGTGTGTGGTTCAGTGGCATTTGGCACACTCACGGTGTTGTGTAGCCACCAGCTCCCTCTAGTTCCAGAACCTTTTCATCCCCCCTAAAGGAAACCCCTCCCATTAGCAGTCACTGCCCCTTCCCCCAGGATGCCCTGGTGTCTGGCTCCCGGAGTTCGGCGTGTTTTTGAATTCTGTGTGTATGTCAGCTGCCTCCTTTTCCGTGCTGAGAGGTAGTCTGTGCTGTACCACCTCCAGACGCTTGCAGTAACACATCCCCCGTCAGTTCAGAGTTTTTCTGTGCTGTGTTTAAGGTCTGGGCTAGGCTGCTGTAACAGAGGCCCCAAATCACAGTGGCTCAGGCAAGATTCAAGTTTACTCCTCCACGTAACACTCCAAAAGTAGGTAATTTGGCTCCAAAAGGCTGTTGAGGGACCCAGGTTCCTTCCATCTTGTAGCTCCGTGTTCTCTGGGTTGTATCCTGGTCCCTGTGGTCCGGGCTGGTTTACCACCACCACGTCCATGCTCCAGCCTTCGAGAATCGGGACGAGGCTGGAGGGCAAGCTTCCTTTTGAGGCTGTCCCGGAGGTTGCACACCTCGCAGTCACTCCCGTCCAGTGAGAGAGAATTCGGTAACCTGACCACCCCTAGCAGTGCACCCTGGGGGACGTAGTCTCGAGCTCGGGGGCCTGTGGCAGCCCCAAGGCAAGGGGTCAGTTGCAAAAAGGATGAAGAGGGGAGACTGGATGTGGGGGGGTAGTTATGGGATCCAGAGGTCTTCCCTTGAACCTGGGGTGGCTGACCTGTCCCCTCCTCTCCTCCCCGCCCCAGCTGGGTCTGGGGTCTGCTCTAGGTTCCCATAATCCCCTCTGTCTCAGCCTGGACACTGGGAGACATGTACTTTTCATTTTTCTTTTTTTTTCTTGGTGAGGAAGATTCGCCCTGAGCTAAGATCCCTGCTCATCTTCCTCTGTTTTGTATGTGGGACGCCGCCACAGTGTGGCTTGATGAGCAGTGTGTAGCTCTGCGCCTGGGATCTGGGCCTGCGGACCCTGGCCTGCCAAAGCAGAGCACACAAACTTAAATCACCAGCCACCGGGCCGGCCCAGACGTGTACTTTTCTAAAACTTCATTCTCTTTTTGAATAATTTCAAACATGGGAAGGTTGAAAGAATAAGAATAATTCAAGGAATGCCTGTCTTCCCTTTACCAGATTCACCTGTTTTCACATTTTTCTTTTTTTACTTTATGATTTGCACACATGCTTTCTTTTTCTCCTCTCTGTATGCATGTGCACACTTTATAAAAAAACTTCAGAACAGCTTGTGTATGTCTTGGCTGTTTACCCCTAAGTCCTTGAGTGTCCATTTCCTGAGAATATTCTCTTACTGAACCGCACTGAAGTTACCAACTCGAATAGGCTGAACCTGAGTATAGTCAATACATCCTGTCGGAACATAACCCCCGAGTAATTTCTTATAGGTTGCAATTGAGAATGCATAAACGGGCCAGCCTGGTGATGTCGTGGTCAAGCTCACGGGCTCTGCTTCAGTGGTCTGGGGTTCACCAGTTCCGATCCCGTGCACAGACCTACACACCGCTCATCAAGCCATGCTGTGGCAGCATCCCACATACAAAATAGAGGAAGATGGGTGTGGAGGTTAGCTCAGGGCCAATCTTCCTCAAAAAAGAAAAAGAATACATGTAAACACACATGAACAGCAGTGTCTATTTTTTGTTGTTGTGTTTGCTACAGTGCATCCTGGATTGAGGGCCGGGGCTGCTCTAAAGGGCATTTTGGGGATAATGGGAGAAATTGGAAAATGAACTCTTTATTTTATATTATTACTGAGTCAGTGTTAAATGTCCTGGATCTGACCATTGTGCCATGCTTATTTAAGAGAATGTCCTTAAAGAGGAAAACAAATGGTCGTGTGAGTTGTGCACGTTCTCTGGGGGTGGAGGGAGGGGAGCAGAGGTGGCCATATTGACACTTGGGGGACCTGCGTGACGGGCATGCGGGAGTTCTGTGAGTCTGAAATTATTTCAGAGTAGAAGGGGCTGTTTTGTTCTGTTTTCAAGTGGGGCGGGAGGCCTCTGCAGTGTTTCGAGCTGGGAGGGGACCTGATCAGACTCTGTTTTGGGCCACTCCCTGGCCCCAGCACGGCAACCGGCCTGAAGGGGAAGCTTCCCGGCTGTTTGCTGCTTGAGGGCCTGGGCAGATGGGGCAGTGGGCGGGCGAGGGCCTCGAGGACAGAGCTTTATGGGAAAGAAAGGGACGTGCTAAGGACCAAGTCTGTGATGTGATGGGGGACGAGGGGAGAGGCTGAGCGGGGTGGGTGACAAGGGGTCTGCAAGGGGGGAGTAAACAGGGATGGGAGGATGTGGAGGGAGGGGTAAACAGGGACGGGAGGATGTGGAGGGAAGGTAGACAGAGGTGGGGAGGGAGGGAGTCACATCAGCCAGCGGCCACTGGGTGTCTGGGACGTGCCAGCGCCCGTGAGCCTGCGGGTGGAGAGTCGTCCTGCTCCTCAGCGGCCCAGAGAGAGAGTCAGAAGGCTCACGGCCACGGCGGGCGCATGGGAGGCAGTGGAGAAGGCCGGAACTCTCAGCCAGCCCCGACTTGCCCAGCAGGATGGAGGGCAAGCGGCGGCCAGGCCCGGGGCCCGGGGTGCCCCCGAAGCGGGCCCGGGGGGGCCTCTGGGATGAGGACGAGCCATCGGGGCCGTCCCAGTTCGAGGAGGAGCTGGCGCTGATGGAGGAGCTGGAGGCGGAGCGCAGGCTGCAGGAGCAGGAGGAGGAGGAGCTGCAGTCGGCCCTGGAGGGGGCTACGCACGGTGAGACCTGGGTGGGAACCCCACCCTACAGTCAGCCACAGAGCTGACCTGTAACCTCTGACCCCCAGCCTCGGGTCTGCTTTGAGCTCCACGTGGGGCTGACCTTTGACCTGTGCCAGTATGCCACCTCTGTTGCCTGCAGCTGCTTTCTGACCTTGATCCTTGACCCCATGGTTTCTTGTGAGTTGCCTGCCTGATCCAACCGACCTTCCCGTGCTGAATCGGCCACCTGAAGGGCCATCGGCTGGGCAGGCAGGCGGTTCCTTACCTCTGAGGGAGAGCCGTGGCTCACGCAGTCCCGTTCCCCCCAGGGCAGCTCTCCCAGACAGCCATAGACCCCCGCTGGCTGCGGCCCTCCCCACCTCCCCTGGACCCCCAGACGGAGCCCCTCATCTTCCAGCAGTTGGAGATCGACCATTATGTGGGTGAGTCTGGGGCCAGGAGCCCCGGGTGGGAGGCGGGCCCTGGGCTCCCGGGGTGGAGGCCGGGCCGGGTCAGCCCTGCTGGCTCTGTGGGAGGAGAGGGACACGGGCAGTCCCTGCTCGGGAGACCAGGGCTGTGAGAGGGAGGGACAGGGCTAGGCGTGCCCAGAGGGGGCGGCGAGGTGTCTGGTGGGGAGTGTGGGGGGCACACGTATCCAGCTGGACTTCCTGGAGGATGGGAGCATCGTCCAGCTGAGGCCTGAAGGTAAAGAGCTGACTCCTAGCAGAGGGGCGAGACATGTGGTGTGGCATCCATCCATCCGTCCGTCTATCCACTTGTCTAGTCAGTCAGGACAGCCGAGTGTCTGCATTGAGCCAGGCTCTATTCAGGCGGACCAGGTCCCTGCTTTCAGAGGCTCACGTTCTGGAAGGAGAGGCAGAAGAAAGAAGGACATGGAACATCGGGTGGCCATGAGGATTATAGAGGAAAATAGAGTGGGGTGGGGGTGCTGGACCATGCTTCTTAAAGGTCCAGGATGGTCTCTCCGAGGAGGTGACAAGGAACAAAGGGGACGTCTGGGGAAGAGAGATTCCGGGCAGAGGGTCCCGAGGAGGGAGCAGGTCTGATGGGTTTGAGGCACAGCGAGGTGACCATTGTAGGGGGAGCAAGGGGCGGAGATGAAGGCGGGAGGTTGAGGGTGATCCTGTCGCCCGGCCAGGACTGCAGGGCCCCACCCTGAGCGAGCCTGGGTGCCTTTGGCAGTGGGGAGGCCCACTCCATCGTACGTGTTAGAAGGCTCGCCCCGGAGAGAATGAAAAGAAGCTAAGGCGGGAGGGCACGTTGGCATCCACGTATGTGACAAGGACCGTTCTGCGAGTGTATGCAGCGTGCTTGGGTCTCCACAGTAAGAACAATCCAGCTTGAAAGTGGGCACAAAACTCACACAGACAATTCGCTGGAGGAGAGACAATGGCCAATGAGCAGGTGGGATGACGCTTTGTGTCATTGGCTCTTGAGGAGACGCACGGGACAGCCATGGTGACACACTGTGCACCTCAGAGAACGGAAGTAAGATGTGCTGACAGCACCAGGTGCTGGTGGGACGTGACAGCTTGGATGTTTCTTACAGAGTTTAACCTCCTTTCTTGTTCTTTTTTTTTTCTTTTTTTGCTGAGGAAGATTTTCCCTGAGCCAACATGTGTGCCAGTCTTCCTCTATTTTGTATGTGGGTCACCAGCACAGCATGGCCGCTGATGAGTGGTGTAGGTCTGCACCCGGGAACTGAATCCAGCTGCCAAAGTGGAGCGCAGCAAACTTTTAACCACTAGGCCACCAGGCTGGCCCCAGCCTACTCTCTTTTTCTCCATTCGTAGGCTGGGGTTTTTTTCCCAACTTTATTGAGATAAGAGAGTTCAATCTACTCTTACCATAGAACCCGGTAATTCCACCCTTAGGTATTTACCCCAGAGAAAGAGCAGCCTAGCTTTAGTAGGACCTCTCTTCATGTCCGCCCCAAACTGGAAACAACCCACATGTCCTGCGGTCGGGGAACAGATAGGGAAACTGCGGTCCGCCCACACCACACGGTGCTTCGCCACAGCGAGAAGGAAGGAGCTGTTGACACACTCGACGACACGGATGAGTGTCAGAGGCGTCACGCCGAGTCCAAGCCAGATCTAAAGACAGAACAGGCCATCCGTGCTTAGGGTGGCGGGGAGTGTGTGCTTACGAAGGGGCAGCTCGGGGGAGTGGTCTGGAGCAACAGAACTGCCCAGTCCCCTGATTTTGGGGGTGGTTATGCGAATCTGTATGTGCGATCGAGTTCCTAACACTACACACACATAAAGTGATACCACTTTTTTTGTGTGTGCATGAGGAAGATTGGCCCTGAGCTAACATCTGTGCTAATCTTCCTCTATTTCATGTGGGACCCCACCACAGTGTGGCTGACAGGTGGTGCTAGGTCTGCACCTGGCATCCGAACCTGTGAACCCCAGGCTGCCGAAGCTGAATGCACCATCTTAACCACTGCGCCACTGGGCCGGCCCCCAATTTTACTTTTTAAAAGAAAAATGTTTTAATTTGCAGCAAAGGGTGGTGGGCTCCCTCTAGCTGCGTGGTAGGAATGGACTGTGGGGGAGGCAGGCTCTCCCCTCCACAGCAGGGCTGAAGTAAGGCGGCAGGGACAGTGCAGAAGTACCCCAAGCTGCAAGGCAGGGGGCTGTGTCCCCGGCACAGGAGGGACCTGGGGAGGGGCACCTTGGGGGAATCTGAGGGCGGCAGCCCCTGCCTTACCCTGTGCCCCCAGGCCCAGCGCAGCCCCTGCCTGGGGCACCCACGCCCTCCCCGGGCTCCGTGCCCGTGCTCCGTGCCTTCGGGGTCACCGACGAGGGCGTCTCTGTCTGCTGCCACATCCACGGCTTCGCGCCCTACTTCTACACCCCGGCGCCCCCTGGTGAGTGGCCCCGACCCGAGAGACCCCTCTCACCCCAGCCCCCCAGAGGCCCCTGCGCTTCTGACTGGCCCTCCCCCCCCAGGTTTCGGGCCCGAGCACCTGAGCGACCTGCAGCGGGAGCTGAATGTGGCCATCAGCCGGGACCAGCGCGGCGGGAAGGAGCTCGCGGGGCCAGCTGTGCTGGCTGTAGAGCTGTGCTCCCGGGAGAGTGAGTGCCGCCCGGGGCCCAGCGGGTGGGGTCCCTTCGGGCCGGTGCCAGCTCCCTCTGTCCGCAGGCATGTTCGGGTACCAAGGGCATGGCCCCTCCCCGTTTCTGCGCATCACCCTCGCACTGCCCCGCCTCATGGCCCCCGCCCGCCGCCTCCTGGAGCAGGGCATCCGTGTGGCAGGCCTGGGCACCCCCAGCTTCGCGCCCTATGAGGCCAACGTCGACTTTGAGATCCGGTACTGCCCCTGCCTCACTTCTCCAGCCTCTATCCCGGCTCCTCCTGGTCGGCCTCTGCCCGCTGACCCTCGTCCCCCTCCAGGTTCATGGTGGACACGGACATCGTCGGCTGCAACTGGCTGGAGCTCCCGGCCGGGAAATACGTCCTGAGGCCGAAGGGGAAGGTGCGGGGCTCCCCAGGGGCTTGGGCCCGGAGTCGGGACCCTGCAGCCGCTGACATGCCCCGTCCCCACAGACCACACTGTGTCAGCTGGAGGCAGACGTGCTGTGGTCGGACGTGATCAGTCACGCACCAGAAGGGCAGTGGCAGCGAATCGCCCCCCTGCGCGTGCTCAGCTTCGACATCGAGTGCGCTGGCCGCAAAGGTTTGTCCTCGGGGCCCAGCACTCCTCCCTCCTCCCTCTAGATTTTGTGACGTGCCAGGCTCGGCCTGGGCGTCCCTGTGCTGCTTGAGCTCACTCGAGGAGGAGGGAGTGGACACACAAGTGGACAGGTGATTGTAAGACTCGCAGTGTGAAGGAGGGAGTGGTGGAGGGGTGGGGCAGCTTTTCACAGGTGGTGAAGGCTTCGGGTGAGGAGACAAGCCCTGTGAAGAACAGGCTGGGGTGTGGGGTGGGGAGAGCATTCCCCGCAGAGAACAGCAAGTGCAAAAGCCCTGGGGCAGCCCATCCCAGCCTGTGTGAAGGAGGAGAGAGGCCAGGAGGGGAAAGCAGAGGGGCAGCCAGGGCATGTTGTGCCAGGTCTGCAGGCCATGGGGACGGGGAGGAGTGGACAGGCTGGGGGAGATGTGGAGGTGCAGCCACTGTGATGTGTCGTGAGGGAGAGGTGGGAGTCAGGTCCCTGTGTCCCCCTCCTCCCTCCTTGCGCAGGCATCTTCCCCGAGCCCGAGCGGGACCCTGTCATCCAGATCTGCTCGCTGGGCCTGCGCTGGGGCGAGCCGGAGCCCTTCCTGCGCCTGGCGCTCACCCTGCGGCCCTGTGCTCCCATCCTGGGCGCCAAGGTGCAGAGCTACGAGCGGGAGGAGGAGCTGCTGCAGGTGCCTCTTGTTCCACGTCCCCCGTTTTCTCGGTACCCCCACCCGACCTCTGCGGCCCAGGCGCAAGGCCATTTTCCGAGTCCCCTGGGCGTGGGCCCCAGATGCTGGGCCACTGCATCCACGGCTCCAGACCCTGTGGTTCGCGGTAGACAGTTCTGCTCTGGGTCCTGCATGATTTTCAGAAGCACCTGCCCACCATGGGTGGGAGGACTCCGGCTGCACTTGGGGGCTTCTGGAACCTTCCAAGAGTGGGGAAGATCCATGGCAGGGAGGTGACCAGGATGACAACTGGGGTGACCCTGTGTGCTCCCACCCCCAGGCCTGGTCGGCCTTCATCCGCACCATGGACCCCGACGTGATCACCGGCTACAACATCCAGAACTTCGACCTTCCCTACCTCATCTCCCGGGCCCAGACCCTCAAGGTAGGGCAGGCCGGGGGGGGGGAGACTTGCCCTCAGATGCCCCACAGGGGCTCTGAGTGTTGGCAGCCACCCTGCGCCGTGTGGTCCACATTGCTCTGCGGACCTGCAGCCCACCGCCCCAGCGCTCCAGAAGCAACCCCGGAAGCCCAGCTCTGGCCCCCTCCCCGCCCTGCTCATAGTACAGAAGGTTCCGTGGCTTTTGCAGAGGCGAGAAGAGCATTATGGTTAAGTCAGAAAAGGCTCACGTATTCAGAGGGGCAGACTGAAGTGTGCAGGGGGCAAGGCCGTGTCTTCCAGGCTTTAAGCCATGTCACCGAAAAATAAGGGAAACATTGGTGCGCGTGGCAGAGCCCTGCTGCTTGTGGCGTCTGGCCCTGGGTGTGCGCTGCATGCATCGCTGGCCGCCCCAATGGTACCGTGGGCGCGCGTCGTCCCGGTCTGGTGGCTGGAGTCCACAGTCGAGGCATCGCAGGGCCGGTGCCTTCTCAGGCCTCTCCTGGCTTCTCAGACGTTCCTGGGGGTGACAGCGTCTCCCTGTCTTTCCACCTCGTCTTCCTCCCTGCGTGTCTTCTTGCTCCAGTGTCCCCTTTCTAAGGACACTGTCGCATTGAATCAGTGTTCATTCAAATGGCCTCATCTTATCTTGATCAGCTGCCGAGACCCTGTTTCCCAGCAAGGTCACATTCTGAGGCTCCAGGGTTAGGACTGCAGCATCTTTGAGGAACACAATTCAACTCATAATGTGGGGCATATTGTATTATTTTCATTTTTTCCTATGTGTTTGGCCAATTCCATAATGAAGAAAAAGCCATACTTGTGGCCCTGACAGCTCCAGGGAGAAGTCCACCCCATCAGCTTGGCATTTATATCTGGGCCACCACTCCCCTCCCCTCCGCTCCACAGCCCTGCCCCCCACTCCCCACTCCGGCCCCAGCTCAGGCCCCTGTCCCCGCTTCCAGCAGACACCTCTCCTGACCCGGGACCCAGCCCAGCATGCTGCCTCCTGCTGGTGCTCCCTCCGGGCTGGCTCCCAGGCCCCACCCCTGTGCCCACTGCCTCCTCGCTGGGCTCGGCATCATCCCCAGTCTGCTCCTCCTCCGGCTCCCCATCGGGGTGCTGCACCCAGCCACTGGGCACCATCCTTGCCTCCTCACCCCACAGCCATCAGGCCCCCAACTCTCCCATCCTGGTCTCCTGTCTCCCCGCCGTCCTCACCAGCCCAGCCCCAGAGGGTCTGTCTGCATCCCCTGGCCGGGGTTCCCAGCAGAAAGAGGGCTGCACCCCAGGGATGACCAGGGCAGCCGCCGCACCCCTGCAGCCCACCCTGCCCATGTGCTCCTCCCTCAGGTGTCGTCCTTCCCCTTCCTGGGCCGCGTGTCTGGCCTCCGCTCCAACATCCGGGACTCGTCGTTCCAGTCGAAGCAGACCGGCCGGCGGGACACCAAGGTGGTCAGCATGGTGGGCCGCGTACAGATGGACATGCTGCAGGTGTGGGGCCGGCCAGCCGGGGTAGGGTGGGGCGGGGTGTCCTCGGGGGCCGCTGCCCGGCCTATGCCCACCACCCCTGTGCCGCGCCTGCCCAGGTGCTGCTGCGGGAGTACAAGCTCCGCTCCTACACACTCAACGCCGTGAGCTTCCACTTCCTGGGCGAGCAGAAGGAGGACGTGCAGCACAGCATCATCACCGACCTGCAGGTGCCCCCACCTCTCACCCATGGACCCCACGGACCACACGTCCGCCGGCCCCGGCCCTCGGCCTCCCAGCCGATCTCCCACTGCCCTCCTGACCTCTGACCTCCGCCTCCCGCCCTGATCTCTCACCGCCCTCCTGACCTCCGACCTCCATCTCCCACCCCGATCTCTCACTGCCCTCCTGACCTCCGACCTCCCACCCTGATATCTCACCGCCCTCCTGACCTCCGACCTCCATCTCCCGCCCCAACCTCTCACCGCCCTCCTGACCTCCGACCTCCATCTCCCGCCCCAATCTCTCACTGCCCTCCTGACCTCCGACCTCCATCTCCTGCCCTGATCTCTCACCGCCCTGCTGACCTCTGATCTCTGCCTCCTGTCCCTGATTCTCACCACCCTCCCAACCTCCAACCTCTGTCTCCTGCCCCTGATCTTTCACTACCTTCTTGACCTCTGACCTCTGCCTCCTGCCCCGATCTCTGATCTTACCCTTTCATCTGCTCATCTGACCTGAGCCTCCCACTCGCTCTCCTCACCTTGGACTTAACCTTCCGCTTGTGCCTTTGACCTGCACTTTCACTTCCTGCCCCCGACTTCTCCCCTCACCCTGTCCGAGTGGCCCTGGTTCCTGACCCCACCCATGGCCTCTGGCTCTCCTGCCCCCTCCTCTCTTTCGCCCAGCCCTGCAGTCTGCTGTCTCCTCCCCCTGAGCCCCTTGACCCCCTGGCCTCCCGTTCCGCTCGCTCCCCTCCAGCCCCCGCCCTCCCCGAGCCTGACCCCCGCCCGGCCTGATGCCCCATGCCTGTCCCCAGAACGGGAACGAGCAGACGCGCCGCCGCCTGGCCGTGTACTGCCTCAAGGACGCCTTCCTGCCACTGCGGCTGCTCGAGCGGCTCATGGTGCTGGTGAACGCCGTGGAGATGGCGCGTGTCACCGGCGTGCCCCTCAGCTACCTGCTCAGCCGTGGCCAGCAGGTCAAGGTCGTGTCCCAGCTGCTGCGACAGGTCAGTGGGCTGAGCCCAGGGTGGCCCGGCCACCCCACTCCCAGCCGCAGGGTCCTGCCCGTGCCCACCCTCTGTTCCCGCCTCTCCCCTCCAGGCCATGCGCGAGGGGCTGGTGATGCCCGTGGTGAAGACGGAGGGCGGTGAGGACTACACGGGGGCCACAGTCATCGAGCCCCTCAAAGGGTGAGGCCCCGCAGCTGGGTGGGGGTGGCCCTGGGGCTTCCGGCTCTGACTCCCCCACCCCCCCAGGTACTACGATGTCCCCATCGCCACCCTGGACTTCTCCTCGCTGTACCCGTCCATCATGATGGCCCACAACCTGTGCTACACCACGCTCCTGCGCCCCGGGGCCGCCCAGAAACTGGGGTATGGCACCCTCCTCTGCCCATGCACCCCGAGACTGCCCCGGGGCTGGGGACCCAGAGATGCTGGGGAGGGGAGGCGAGACGGGAGAGGTGGGGGAGCCCCAGGGGCTGGAGGAGGAGGAGACAGGGCAGGGGGCCGGCATTACCTTCCACCATCCTGCCCCCAGCCTGACCGAGGATCAGTTCATCAAGACGCCCACAGGGGACGAGTTTGTGAAGACATCGGTGCGGAAGGGGCTCCTGCCTCAGATCCTGGAGAACCTGCTCAGCGCCCGGAAGAGGTGGGCTCCTGAGCCGCCTGCCCACCCGGCTCAGACCTCACACTTGCTGTGGCTCCTTGGCAATCCCTGTCCCTTGTGGGTCACCCCAGGGCTGCCGGGCCACACTTCCCTGCAGCCGTGTGTGAATTAGAACTAGCTGCTCCCTCCAGACAGCTCCCGTTCACCACCTCTGCTGATGTCTCTGTGCAGTATGCGGCACACACAACTGTACATGGCAACCCTTTCCAGAAAGGCACGCTGACGAGTGCCCAGGCCGGGGCCTGTCATCTTCCCCTGAGACCTAGGATGCTGCCTGAGTGGCCTTTGCTCCCCCCATCGCAGGGCCAAGGCCGAGCTGGCCAAGGAGACAGACCCCTTGCGGCGGCAGGTCTTGGACGGGCGGCAGCTGGCACTCAAAGTGAGCGCCAACTCTGTGTACGGCTTCACAGGCGCCCAGGTGGGCAAGCTGCCATGCCTGGAGATCTCACAGGTGAGTGCTCCATCCCCACGGCGGGCGGGGGTGGGCTGACAGCCCCCTGCTCTGTGGGTGGCAGAGCAGCAGCTGGAGTCAAGGCCCGGGCAGCCCCAGCTCTCTGGCCTTTTGGGCAGGGGCTCCGTGAGTGTTCACTTCACGCATTTGTCCCACAAACGCTTGCTGAGCATTAGCCATGGGTCGGGCCTCGTGCCCTGTGGGTCCGGCAGGGGACAAAATGGACAAGAGTTCCTGTCCTCGGGGAGGGCCCAGCCTGGTGGGGACGCAGGGTGAGAGCAGTGAGCGTGTATAGGAGAGCAGTGGCGCCAAGGGCTCTGTGGACAAATGGAGCAGGGGTGGGGCGTGCGGCGGCCGTGGCACGGAAGCGACCCCAGCAGTTCCGCTCGTCCGCTCTGTCTCACACAGTCCCCTTGACAGAACCCGTGTCCCCGGCGCTCCACGCCCCAACCCATCTCCTCCCTGGGACCCCATGAGGGTGGGGAGCGGAGGGCGGTTCCCTCCCCCCAATAGGCTGTGTCTCTCTTCAGGGGGCTGGGGTGGGGCTGGGGGTCACCCAGCAGCTCAGTCAGGCCCTGGCGCTGTATTTGCTGTGTCCCTGGTCACCGTTGGAGCAGGCGTGAGGGTCCCCCCTCTTGCTATTGGCGTGAGGACCCGGTGAGGATGCTCGATGGGCGCTTGGTCAGTGCTCTGCCCCGAGAGGGAATGTGGACAGAAAGCCCGCTGCCTCCCTCCCCGCCCACAGTTGCTCCTAGGCCTGTCTACCGGAGGCCGCTGTGCCGCTCAGACAGAAAAACAGATCCATGCAATACCACAAAGGGTCCGAGTCTCTGAGGCCCCAGCTCATGGCCTGGGAAAGGGCTTCCTGTCTAGCTCCTTTCCCTGGAGTTTGGGTCCTGGCAAATTCCAGACTTGGTTACCTCCAGCCATCGGGAGCTCCCTCCCTACCTGGCATTCTGTCAGCCCTCATGTGGCTCTGGGCAGAAGGCTTGGAAGAATTGCCAGTGGGCGGGCCTTCTGGTGGGAGGAGCCTGTGTACACACACACCCACCTGCTGTTTGTGGGCCAAAGACCACCCTCAGATCCAGTGATTTGCTACAAGGACTTAGAGAACTCAAAAGAGCTGGTATACTGGCAGTTATGATTTAATATATACTTTTTTTTTCTTGAGGAAGATTAGTCCTGAGGTAACATCTGCTACCAATCCTCCTCTTTTTGCTGAGGAAGACTGGCCCTGAGCTAACATCCGGGCCCATCTTCCTCTACTTTCTATGTGGCACGCCTGCCACAGCATGGCTTGCCAAGCAGAGCCATGTCCGCACCCGGGATGTGAACCAGTGAACCCTGGGCTGCCGTAGCAAAACATGCGTGCTTAACCGCTGCGCCACCGGGCCAGCCCCGGCAGTTATGACTTAATACAGGGAAAGGATAGGGATTGAAATCGGCCAAGGGAAGTGGCATGTGGGGTGGGGTCCAGGAGAGACCAGGTGCGAGCTTCCAGTCGTCTCTCCCCGTAGAGTTGTTCAGACAGCGCTCACTTCTTCTGACATCACTGCATGACAGCACATGTGTGGTACCGCCCACCAGGGAAGCTTGCTTACCCGAACCTTGGTGTCCTGGTTTGGATGTATTTTTTTGTTTTTTTGTGTGAGGAAGATTGGCCCTGAGCTAACATTTGTTGCCCATCCTCCTCTTTTTGCTTGAAGATTGTTGCTGAGCTAACATCTGTGCCAGTCTTGCTCTATTTTTTTTGTAAGTGGGACTCCAGCACAGCATGGCTTGACAAGTGGAGTGTAGGTCCACGCCCGGGAAACGGACTGGCGAACCCCAGGCCGCCAAAGCAGAACACGGGAACTTAACCACTACGCCACCGGGCTGGCCTCCTGGTGGCCTGGGTTTTTTTTTTTTAAGATTTTATTTTTCCTTTTTCTCCCCAAAGTCCCCCAGTACATAGTTGTGTATTTTAGTTGTAGGTCCTTCTAGTTGTGGCATGTGGGACGCCGCCTCAGCATGGCCTGCTGAGTGGTGCCGTCTCTGCGCCCAGGATCTGAACTCGCGAAACCCTGGCCCGCCAAAGTGGAGCGCGCGAACTTAACCACTCGGCCATGGGGCCGGCCCCTGGCCTGGGTTTTTACTGGGGGTCAGTCACACAGACAGGGAGCACCCGCATCCCTGACCTTACTCAGTCTCCAGCTCTCTAGAGGTCAGGCTGATACTGTGTGGCCTGAGACCCCACCGTCAATCACATCAGCACAGACTGCCTGGCGTGGCCCAAGGTCCCAGGTAGACAAAGACACTCTTGTCAGGCGGGACGTGCCAGGGGTTAGAGGTTCCTTCCCAGGAGGCAGCCAAGAGCTGGCCTCTCTTTGGGTGAGGTTAATCCCTGACTACCTGCCACCCATTCCCCTCTCGTTGGCCCGTCATCGTCCCCGGGGGCATCCCCCACCTCCTCGTTGGAGAGAGTGGGTGTGTGGCCGTCAGCTCCAGCCCCTGAGCAGAGGCCAGGCGGGAGGGCGCAGCTCTGCGTCCCCTGGGCCATCCTCTTGGGGCTGCCACCTCCCATCCTTGTCTGTCTCTTCCCTCAGCCCCTTCCTGGTCCCTGTCTGTTATGTCTCTCTTTCTTGGCCTCTTTCCTTACATCTGTCTCTCAAGCTCATGGGGGCAGGCGATGGAATAATATAAAACTACTGAGTCATTCCAGAAAAAGGAAAGAAAGAGGAACATAGAACGGGTGGAACAGATAGAGGGCAGAGGACACGGGGGTAGATTCAAGCCCAGTGTGATCAGTAATTACACTATATGTAAGTGGCCTACATGCTCTAGTTAAAAGACAAAGATTTTCTGACTGGATCCAAACAAACAGAAGAGCCACACCCATCTCTCCTTGGTGTGTGACCCCCACCCCCACTCCACCAGCCTCAGTTTCCTTACTTGTAAAATAAGACTGTTAGGAAGGAATGGCTTCTCCACGGGGCTGGCACAACCCCCTACCCTGGGGGGCATTTGACAGTGTGTAGGCTCGTTTCTGGTCGCCCAAGGATGGAGAGGTGGCATTGCCAGCTTCTAGAGACGCCAGGAATGTCAGTGGTCCTGCACCACGGAGAGCTGCCCGCAGTGTCACTGGCTGTCATGGCACCTCCACGGAGAGAAACACTGAGCTGATGGCCTCTTTGGCTCCAGCCTCTTGAGCAATCATTTGCTGCAGTCGGTTCCTCTGTGCTGGAGCTCCGGCAGGGACCCACCTCTTTCAACAGACCATTAAGGAGCTGCTCAGTAGCCCCATTTTGCAGATTTGGAAACTGAGGCCCAAAGGGGCGGGGCAGCTCACCCAAGCCCACGCCTCCCAGAAGCAGCGGAGGTGGAACCTCAAGCCCACGTTCACTGCAGACGGCCCGGCCCTCACTGCGTGATTCTCTCCCCAACAGAGCGTCACCGGGTTCGGGCGCCAGATGATTGAAAGAACAAAGCAGCTGGTGGAGTCCAAGTACACGACGGAGAACGGCTACAGCGCGAGCGCCAAGGTCAGGGCCGTCCTGCAATGGGACGGGTGGGGAAGCGCAGGGGGCCGGCCTGCATCTCCCCGTGCCTCCTGGTCACACACGCCGCTCCCCAGGTGGTGTACGGTGACACCGACTCCGTCATGTGCCGATTCGGCGTCTCCTCGGTGGCGGAGGCCATGGCCCTAGGGCGGGAGGCCGCCGACTGGGTGTCGGGCCACTTCCCCTCGCCCATCCGGCTGGAGTTTGAGAAGGTAAGTGGCGTCCCAGCAGGGCTCGGAGTGGGCAGAGGTGGGTCTTGCCAGTTTCGGGGGGTCTCTGATTCTCAGGGCGCCTGCGAAGTGTGAGAATGCATTCACGTGGGGCTCCCCTGGTATGTCAGCTCCTGGAAGCCCCGACGTTGCTCACGGTCTCCCTGTGCGGCGCCCTGATCTGGGTTCATGAGCCCCGGTCCCCAGGTCTTTGCTGCCTGGGTTCCCCTGCATTTGGAACCCTGCCGGCCCTCACCTTGGCTATGCAGGACGGTGTCTGTTTTGAAAACCCCGTCAGCCCTGGAGCATCTCTGGTTTTGGGTGTGGGCACCACCCTGGGCGGTGAGGCCCCTGATGGGGTAAATCTGGGATCAGGGCACCACTGTCCGGTGTGCCCCAGCTCCCCGCGTGTGTCACGGAACTCTCACACCACGTTTTGTCCCCAAGGTTCAGACTTGGGGTGCCCTGCTCTCAGATTTGGAACCTCCCGATTTTGGGAAGTCCCTGCCTCAGGGCTCACTCCGGGCCTCGGTCTCCTCTTTGAGAGGGTGCACTTGTCCCCACCGTCTGCCTCAGGGCTGCCCCAGACCCAGATTTGGGGCTCTCCAGCCTTCACCCCAGCATCTGGATGTCGTGTTTTAGCGCCTGTCCCCTAGGTTTATCCCAGTCTCTTTCAGATTTGGGGGCGCTGGAATGCTGAGGGTGTTCCCGGGCTCAGGCCAGAGTCTTAGGATGCATCTCCCCAAATGTCCCGATTCCGTGTCACAGGGACCGTCCCTGCCTGTCCTCAGTTTCTGGGGGGAGTCTCAGGGTTGGGGACTGACCCCCACTGTCTCAGGGGTCTCAGCCACGGCTTCCCCCAGGTCTACTTCCCCTACCTGCTCATCAGCAAGAAGCGCTATGCCGGCCTGCTCTTCTCTTCCCGGCCGGATGCCCATGACCGCATGGACTGCAAGGGCCTGGAGGCCGTGCGCAGGGACAACTGCCCCCTAGTGGCCAACCTTGTCACCGCCTCGCTGCGCCGCCTGCTCATCGACCGGTGGGTGGGACCCTCTGCCCAGACCTGGAGGCCAGGCGGGCCCCTCCTCCGCCAGGCCCGGGAGCCCCCAGCCCCTCCCCCCTGGGCGCCGCAGGTGTTAGAGCCGGCTCTTCCTCAGTGGTGGAGGAGCGGTGGAAAGAGTGTGGGGTTGGACAGCTGTGGGTTCAGGCCCCGCCTCCGCCACTTTGCAGCCCATGGCTGGGCGGGGCCCCTCCCTGCCCTGGGCCTCAGCCCCCAGAGCGCATCCTGGTCCCCCAGCCTTGGGGGCAGTGGAGGTGCCAGCCTGGCCCTCAGCAGCCACTGGTGACGCCTGCCCATCCCGGCCCCCAGAGACCCCAATGGCGCCGTGGCCCACGCACAGGAGGTCATCTCGGACCTGCTGTGCAACCGCATCGACATCTCCCAGCTGGTCATCACCAAGGAGCTGACCCGCGCGGCCGCCGACTACGCCGGCAAACAGGCCCACGTAGAGCTGGCCGAGAGGTCCGCCCGCATCGGGAGGGGGCGGGGGCCGCCCAGAAATAGCCCCTCTCCTGCCAGCTGGGCCCACCACTTCCTACACCCCGCCCACCCCCGCCATCCCACCTGCCCTCACCCGCCCGCCACCCGGGCCTCTCCGCAGGATGAGGAAGCGGGACCCCGGGAGCGCGCCCAGCCTGGGCGACCGTGTCCCCTACGTGATCATCGGTGCCGCCAAGGGCGTGGCTGCCTACATGAAGTCCGAGGTCAGGCCCACCTGGGCTGCCCGCTCCCGCCCAGCCCTCCTCGGCTCTCACTTCTGCTTTCCGAGCCAGGCGGGGAGGGTGTTTCCCTCTGCGGGCCCCACAGGGCCCTGAGGACCGCCCCCCAGCACCCCCTGGGAGACGGCTCCATGACGCTGTGCTCCTGGTGCCCTCGGGAGGGAGCCCCGTTATTCTGACCCCTCCCTCACTCCCTTCTGCAGAAGGGGGCCCTAGTGTCTCTGCCTCTCCATCTGTTTCTCTGTGTCACGTCGGTCATTGCCGTCCAGCTTCTAATGTCCTTGGATTCCTACCAGATGTCCATTGACCTCTGACCCCCACGACCCCTTGCTCAGTCCCCAGTTTCTGTCCCACCTTCTCATATCTCAGCTTCCGGCCTCCAACTCCAGCTCCTGGCCACCTTCATGCTGCCCCCTCCCACCGTGACCTCTGACCTGCCTTGGTGACCTGAGGACCCCGCTTGTGGCCCCCAGCATGGATCACAGAGCCTGTGGCCAGGGCCTCCCATGACCTCTGACTCCATCCCACCCCCATGATGTCACTCGCACCCATGCCCAGTGACTGTCCCACACCATTGCCCCTCACTGGTGACTGAGGACCCCCCATGGCTCCCAGTGCCCCCCACTCCCTCCTGCCTGGCATGTGACTGCGCTCCCTCCTCCCCTGCTGGCCCCCTACTCCTCCGGCCCCCTAGGTGTGACCCTGCCTGGCCGCTGTGCCCGCAGGACCCCCTCTTCGTGCTGGAGCACAGCCTGCCCATCGACACGCAGTACTACCTGGAGCAGCAGCTCGCCAAGCCGCTCCTGCGCATCTTCGAGCCCATCCTGGGCGAGGGCCGCGCCGAGGCCGTGCTGCTGCGTACGGGGGCACCCCGGGCGGGTGGGGGCGGGCGCCGGGGGGCCAGGGAGGGCCTGTGCCCACCGCCTGCCCTTGCCTGCAGGGGGTGACCACACGCGCTGCAAGACGGTGCTCACAGGCAAGGTGGGCGGCCTCCTGGCCTTCGCCCAGCGCCGCAGCTGCTGCATCGGCTGCCGCACGGTCCTCAGCCACCAGGGTGAGCGCGGCCCCGACCCCAGCCCCGGTCCTGACCCCAGCCCAGACCTCAAAGCCTGGCCCTTGGGCCCCTGCCCTCTGCTCCCCTCTGCCATCGCCCGAGGTCCCCGGCACCCACCCCACCTGCCAGCTCTGCTGCCTGGATGGCCGCTGGCCCTCATGGGGGGCTCCTGTCTGCCGTCACCCCGACAAGGGTCCTGGGCCCTCCGGCCTGGGAGTTCCCCCGGGGAGTTTTTCCCGCACACTCGGTCCCTTGTTCTCCTGTCTCCGGGACTTTCAGAAGCCGGGATGGGCAGCGGGCGGGGAAGGGGCAGGGAGGGGGCAGCCCGGCCCTGGCGCAGCCCCAGCTCGCTGGCTGACCCGCCGCCCTCCCAGGAGCCGTGTGCAAGTTCTGCCAGCCCCGGGAGTCGGAGCTCTACCAGAAGGAGGTGAGGGGTCGGGGGACGGGGGGCCCGGGGACTGGGGGTCAGGGCTGCCCGCTCAGCCCTGTCCCCCCCAGGTGTCCCACCTGAACGCCCTGGAGGAGCGCTTCTCGCGCCTCTGGACCCAGTGCCAGCGCTGTCAGGGCAGCCTGCACGAGGACGTCATCTGCACCAGGTGCGCACACCGGGGGGACCCCCGGCCGCCCAGCTTCCCTCCAGGCTCTCTGCAGACCACTGCCCCGACTCCGGGGGCTGCAGGGGCTCGGGCTCCAGCGCCCCACCCCACATCCTCTCCTGGCCGTGGGGTCTCGCTGACCCTTGGTGTCCTGGCCTGCAAAACAGGCCACTGCCCATCCCAGCCCTGCCAGGGGTGGGGGCTGCTGAGCGGGGAGGGCTGGGCACAAGTATCTGCTGGGGAACGGCCACGTGCAGGCGCGCAAACACGCACACGCACACACACACTGACACACACACGCTCTGGGCCCCCTCCCCCAGGGCGGGGCCTGGCTTTCCCCAGGGAACAGGTGGGCGGGGCGGGTTCCCACGCCAGGTGACAGGTGATATACGGCTGGTGGCCTGGCGCCTCGGCGGGCACCCGCTGTTATCGGCTCCCCCCATGCCCGCTGAGCAAACAGCCCGCCGCCAGATGGGGGTTGGGTGGGCAGCACCCGGGGGCCAAAGTCCTGGGAATGGCCCCCGCCCCATCCCTGGGCCGGGCGGCGGGACCTGGGCAGCTGGCCCTGACCCCGGCCCTGACCCCACCCGCAGCCGGGACTGCCCCATCTTCTACATGCGCAAGAAGGTGCGCAAGGACCTGGAAGACCAGGAGCAGCTTTTGAGACGCTTCGGGCCCCCCGGCCCCGAGGCCTGGTGACCTCTCACCTCGGCCAGCTTCCCACAGGGCCTCGGGGTGGGATTGGCGGAGGATGAATAAAGTACAGGCCTTTTGTTACTTGGTGCATCATGGTCTCTGGGGGGACAAGGTTCACTGTCACAGGCCCTGGCCCGGCTGGGTCACCTCCACTCACTGGGATCCCCCGACCCCTGGAGGCCCCTACTGGACCCCTCACCCTCCCTGCCATGCCCCTGGGTTTCTGCCTCTGCTGCCAGCCCCAGGCAGGTCGGGCCTGCCTCAGTCTCCCCCTGTGACACCCCCCTGCCCCAGGGAAGCCCTTTCCACACAAGCTGCTCTGTGCACCTCTCTACCCCCCGGGAGGGGTGGCCACCCCGCCCTCCAGGTGCTGCCCTGTTTCCCAGGCCTGGGGCAGCCCCTGACACTGAGGCTCCCACTCCCCAGCACGACCGGGGACCCCCCCTCCCGTGTCGCACACCCACGATGTTTCCACCTCGGGGTCCTCACTGGCTGTGGGCCTGGGTTTTCCTCGGGGACCCCCCCAGTCCACATCCACTGACGAGAGCCTGGGCACCCCCACCTTGCCTTCTGACAACATGGGTGCTGTGTCTGCTGTCGGTGTCACCCAGCAGGCTCCCCAGCCCCCCGCAACCTGCTCCCCTCTGGCTCCGGGGCCCAGACCCTGCCCCTGTTTATTGACCCCCTGTCACTGGTCACAGGAACCCCTGACCCCTCCTTTACTTTTCCAGGGCACCCCCAATCCAGCTCCTCTCCCAGAATCCCTACACCTCAGGGTCAGCCCCCCACCTCCGACCGTGGGGATCCCCAAATCCAGAAGGCCCCCAGGCCCGCCCTCCCCACCACGTGACCAAGAGATTGTGCAATCCAGCCCCCTCCCCTGACCCCCTCCCTGAGGGGATTTTCGAGGAGGGCTGAGCTCAGGCCAGCCGGCACCCCTGCCCCCCCCAGGGGGCTGGGCCAAGGTATAAATAGGGGTGGTGGCTGCAGCAGCAGCACACCCAGCCCGGGACAACCATGCTCGCCCTGGAGGCCGCACAGTGAGTGGGGGCCCCTGAACCTACACCTGGACCCCCCCCCCCCCGCGCTGCCCCAGCCGCCTCCCCCAGGGGTGGTGGTCCCTGCCCCACGGGGGGGGGGGGGCAGGTGTGTGGGAAGCTAGGGGGTCCACACTGTCTCTCACCCCTTTGGGGTCGCTCTTTTCTCATCTCTCACTTCGTATTCTTTCTTCCATCCCATCTCTGTCTCCCCTGGACCCCAAAGATCTTTCCTGGGACACTGGTTTCCCTCCCTCCTGCCGACGCCTCTCCCCGGGGGCCCTCCAGCTTGGTCTCCGTCTCCCCATCTCCTGCTGGGTCTCGCTCCATCTCCCGCTCGCTGCCTGTGTCTGCCTCTTGCCCCGACTCTTTAGGTTTCGTGGTCTCTGCTCTCTGCCTCTTGCTCCCTCTGTCTCTTTTCCTATTCTCTCTGTCCTCCAGCCTTCTCTCTCCTTCTGTCTCCCCGTCGCTCCTCCACCCGCTCTCTCCCTCTCTGGGGCTGCGCGAACATCTCTCTCCACACTTTCTCCCTTCCCTCCTCGCCTCTCTCCCCCTCGGCCGAGTCTCTTCTGTGTTTTCCCATCTTTGCCTAGGTGTCTCTCCATCTCTCTCCTCTGGTCCAAGGTGGACCCATTGCACCAACTTGATAATGGGGGGCCCCCTCCCCCGCCCCCACCCGCCCGCTGGCGCCCACACCTCCTCTTCAGGGACTTTCTCTCCCTCACTTTCCCTGCCCCCCCACAGCCTCAGTCTATGCAAATCCCAGGGGAGGGGGGACATTTGCCTGGCCCCTGCCCCCTGCTTCCTGTCCCGGTGGGGGAGTGGGGGGACTGTGGTGGGGCTGGTCTCACACAGGGACACACAGCAGTGAGCCTCGGTGGTCACAGCTGCAGGCGCTTCCCCCCATCCCCCCACCGTCCGCACCCCAACCACTTGGAGACTCAGGTGGCTGAAGGCCCCCCTGACATGCCCCTGCATCTCTCCCCCTCCAGGCTCGAAGGGCCACACTACAGCTGTCTGGTGAGTTGGGGCCCTGGGGGCCAGGGAGGGGTGTGGGGGACCCACGCAGCCCACCGGGACCTCCCTGCCTCAGTTTCCCCTTCTGCTCCTTCCTGTCACTTTGTCTTTCTCCGGATCTCCCAGCGCCACCCTCCACCCCTCCTTCCCCCCCACCCCCATCTCCATCACAGACGTCCTTCCCTCTCTCAGGCTCTGGGTCCACATCCTTGCATGGGGGAGGGGGGCGCCCTCCTGTCGTCAACTTTGTGTCTCTCCCTCTGTCCATCCCACATTCAGCAAATCGACTTCCTTCTTCTCTTCTCATCTTGGCTTTGTCTTTTCAAAAGTCGAGTCTGTCAGACTTCAGACACACAGACCCACCGCTCATAAACCCACAGCCCCGTCCGGGAAGTAAAACCCGCTCACAACCTTGGAGGAAACCTCCTCCAGGCGCCCCTCCCTCAGCGCATCCCCTGCTGCCTCCAACTTGAAGACTTTCGCTTTTTTGAAAAACTGAGGGAAACTCACAAGCCGGGAAAGTGACAAATCTTGTATGCAGCTCAGTGAGGTTTTACATTATGCACACATCTGGGTAACCACTAACCAGGCCAAGATATAGAACATTTCCGGCCCTCTGGAAGATTCCCTCACCTCCCTTCCCGATCAATACCTGCCTCTGCTATTTTCCACCATGTTCTGAACTTTACATAAAGCCATCTGGCAAGGTGTCCCTTTTGGGGTCTGGCTTCCTTCCCTCAAGGTTAGCTGTGTGCTGGGCATCGCTCCTTTTTCCTTGCTGTCTAGTACTCCCTCGCAGGACCAGGCCACTGCTAATGTGTCCGTTCTCCTGTGCATGGGCGCCACGGGGCTACGAATTCAGCTGCTCTGATTATCCTGGCACCAGGCTATTGTGTGGACACATATTTTCATACCCATGAATGAGTACCCATGAATACCCAGGAATGAGATGGCGGGTCATCAGGATGATGTATATCCAGCTTGAGACTTTATGAGACTTTAATTGCTAAACAACCCGTGATTCTTGAGACGAATCGAAGTGATATGGAGGTGGACAAAGGAAGCATGAGACTTTGCCTCTGTAAAAACACCCCCACCCTTCACCCCACCCCCTTCCACGCCGTCCCAGGTGCAACGACCTGCCGACTGGGTCCTGGCGAGGAGCTGGGCTTCCCGAGAGCCCACCTCTTAGAGGGACCCGGCTGCTGTGTCGCTCTCTGAGCCCCTGGGTCTCTGTTTCTATGCGTCTCTGCCTGTGTCTCTCATTCTCTGTGTGCGTGTGCGTGTGTTTCTGCTGTGCATCCGTCTCCTCTCTCTGTATCTCTCTGTCTCTCTCTTTGCCCCTGTCTCTGATGCCTAGTCTCTCTCTCTCACTCTGTCTCTCTGCGTCTCTGTCTCCTTCTCTCTCTCTTTTAGTTCCTGTGTCTCTCTCTTTCGCTCCCTCTCCCCGTCCCTGTGGGAGTCCCCCGGCGGGTCCAGGGTGGGGGTGGGGGGCTCCCCGCAGCCTGGGATCACTCCTCCGTCTCCCCCACCCCCATCAGTACCCAGATGGAGTCTTCTACGACCTGGACAGCTGCAAGCACCCTGGCTACCCAGACTCGGAGGGGGCTCCTGGTGAGTGACGCCTGCCCAGCCCCCTCCCCACCTGCCCCTTCAGCCCATTTCACAGATGGGAGAGCTGAGGCCCAGGGGAGGCCGTCAGCTAGCAGAGCAGCACCAAGTGAGCCCGGGCCTCCAGGCCGCCTCCCTTTCCTCTCCCACCCACCCTGCTCGCCCATGCAAATCCTTGGGTCAGAGATTTGCACAGCCCACAATGGCCCCTCTGTGCCGGGGGCTTCCAGTGGGAGGGGGCCGAGGCCAGACCTCCCGGCTTCTGACTCAGTGCCCTTCCCCCAGACTCCCTGTGGGGCTGGACTGAGGCCCCAGCTGTCCCGGCCGCCTCCTTTGAAGCCTATGACCCGGCCGTGGCCACCTTCAGCCACCCCCAGGGTGTCCAGCTCTGTTACGGACCCTCAGCCTACAGCCCTGCGGGGAGCCTCGACCTGGCCCCCAGCCTGGAGGCCCCGGGGCCCGACTTCCGGGCGTACCCCACGGAAGACTTCCCCAGCCAGGTGAGGGGACATTTTCCATCCCGTCATTTGAGTGACGCCCACTAGGTGCCAGGCACTGGTTCCAAGCTGTGCACCCATTGACTCTTCATCCCTCTGCCCACCCCCGGAGGTTAAGCACCCTGTTGTTCCTCTGCACGAACCAGCCACAGAGGCACAGAGCGAGCCAGGGGCCGCACAGACGGCTGTTACTGTTTTGGGCAGGCTTTCCCGGAGGTGGCCTGGGGGTCCCCTGGCCACGCAGATCTGAACCGAGGCCAGAGTGCAGGCTGTAAACAGCGGGGAGGGCCATAGGCGGGGCCGGGGAGGAGGAAGCTGAGGGATGAGAGCTGAGCGAGGGAGAGCAGGGGACCCCGGACTGCAGGTGACCCCAACCTTCCACAGACCCTCGGCCCCCTGGCGCAGCCCCTGTACCCCAGCCCCGTGCTGTCGGAGGAGGAGGATCTCCTGCTGGACAGTCCCACTCTGGAGGTCTCAGACAGCGAGTCGGATGAGGCCCTCATGGCTGGCTCCGAGGGGAGGGGATCCGAGGCAGGTATGTGGGAGCAAGTTGGGGGGGGGGGCGACGCCAACTGGAGATGGAGGGAGGGGGCTAAAGGAATCATGGCCTCCCAAGCACTCCAGCACTGAGGGTGGTTGGCAGGTCTGCTGTCTACTGGCTGTGTGACCTTGGGCAAGTGGCTCTACCTCTCTGTGCCTTGGTTTCCTATCTGTGCAATGTGGATGTCTATTACTGGTGGCTGGTTGGGCGGATTAAGTGGGATAATACATATAAATGAAACAGCAGTGCTTGCCGCGATGCTCAGTAAGTCTTTACCAGAATTGTGGACACAACAGCGACAAAATAATCCTAATATCAACTCACATCTATTTCACCCCTGCTTCTGCCCACGTGCCCGACATCCATTATGTGTGGCCCCTAGAAAGTTGGGATTATTAGTTACTTTCCCCACATGGGCCTCGATTTCCCATCTGTAAAATGGGCGTCCTCACCATCATCCCCAAATCGTGGGGTTACGAGGAAAATTAAATGTAATTGTAAAGTGCCCAGCCCAATGCCTGGCCCCTAGTCTGTCACAAAGGTGGGTGAAAGTCAAACACACACACACACCTTAGCCTCATTGATAGCTGAGGAGACACCAGCTCAGAGTGGTTATGTCACCACCCCAAGCTCACACAGCTGGGAAATGGCAGAGGCCGGGTTCTTGTATCCAGTGCCCTGCTGGGAACCCACCCCCACCCCCAAGCTCTGTGGGGCTCTTGCTGCTTGGAGGAGCCCAGGAGTCAGAGCCCCTGGCCTCTCCCCGGATCCCAGCCCCTCTGGGGCTGAAAGGCTGGGAGACCCGGAGCTAGAGAAACGGCCAGCCGATTAAGACCCCCTCCAGATCTCATGCCACCAGTCAGCTTTTTTATAAGCCTTCGAGAGAGCATTGGCGTCCCATTTCACAGATTCACTCACGGGCTCGAGAAATATGGGTTACCACGGGCTGGCCACCCAGGAGGGCACAGGCCAGACGCAAATCCTGGCAAATCAAGCAGGGAAGGGGGGATGGGGGTTCTGGTGACACAGCCTCGGGGCCAGGAGCCACTTGCCCCGAATGGGAGGGACGGCGCACGGACAGAGCCACGCGGGTGTACCTCACAGCCGCCTCCCTCACCCAAATTATCCCGATGGGGAGGCTGCGGCTTGGCGGGGGCCGGGGCGGGGTGGGTGCGGACCCGAAGGACGCCTCCCCTACCCCCCCCCCCCCCCCCCCCCCCCCCGCAGGGGCCCGCAAGAAGCTGCGCCTGTACCAGTTCCTGCTGGGGCTGCTGACGCGCGGGGACATGCGCGAGTGCGTGTGGTGGGTGGAGCCGGGCGCCGGGGTCTTCCAGTTCTCCTCGAAGCACAAGGAGCTGCTGGCGCGCCGCTGGGGCCAGCAGAAGGGCAACCGCAAGCGCATGACCTACCAGAAGCTGGCGCGCGCCCTGCGCAACTACGCCAAGACCGGAGAGATCCGCAAGGTCAAGCGCAAGCTCACCTACCAGTTCAACAGTGACCTGCTGTCCGCCCCGCACCGCGCCTGAGCCCGGGGGGCGCTCTCCGGGGCTCCACGCCTGTGTCACGTCGGCGTCCCCACACCCTAGGTCAGAGGACCCGTGCATCCCCACGCTGCGGGGCGAGCAGGGCTGCCGTCATCTCTAAACACTGCCCCGGCCCCTCTGGGACCCCCCCGGGCCCCGATCTTGTCTGGGGCCCCTCTGGGATTCCCTTGTCATGTCCAGGAGCCCCGGGATCCTCATGTCTCGGGTCCTAGGACCTGTAGACGACTCTGCTATGTGTCTGTGTGGAGGGGGGGCGGGGTAGTGCTTCCAGCATCCCAAGAACGCCTCTGGGATCCCCTTATGATGTCTGAGATCCCCCAACCAGGCCGGGGACCTCTCTGAGATCCCTTGTGTGTCTAAGACCCCCTCAATCTCATCTGGGGGACAGTGAGCCCGCAGATCGTCACACCAGGAGGTGCGCCCTGCCAGCGACCCGGAGCCCTGGCCCGGGTCTCTCTGGGATCCCCTTCTCATGTCTGGGTCCCTCAAGTCAGATCTGGGATCTCCTAGTGATGTCTGGGCCCTCTGCGAATTCCTTATCACGTCTCAGATCTCCGTGCCCGGCCAGCTGTGACTCTTGTGTCCTCTCTGTCCCCCCAAGTGCTTTTGTCATCTTTGAGATTCCCCTAGTTCTCTGGAACTTTTCTGTGTCTGGAATTCTCCAGTCACATGTGGGGCCCCTCCGGGATCCTTTCGTCACGTCTGAAGTCACCGTTGTCAAGTCTGGGGGGGACCTCAGTGAACCTTGTCGTGTCTGGGTCACCTCTGGGACACCCTCGTTTGTCTGGGATCCTCCCATCGCATCTGAGCGCCCCCCCACCCCCGTCCTCATCTGAAATGCCTCTTCGGGGACCCCACCAGCAGCCTTGAGTTCTCAAGGGGTCCCTTCTTCTGGGTGCCCTGGGAGGGCCGTGCTGGGGATCAGTCTGGCCAGTCAACCGATTTCTGCATGATCCTGGCAGCCCTCCCATGTCATTTCTAACCAGAGGCCTCAAACTGGTGACACCCTCCGCCGGCCCCGCGGGGCAGATCAGCTCCCTGGTGGTGTTTAGTTTGCTGTGGTGGGTTTAGTGTGTGTGGTTTTTTTTTTTTTTTGGCGTTTTTTTTTTTTTTTTTGACGGGGGATACGAATTAGCTGACATTTCAAAATAAGGCGGTTTTGCATACTCCTCCACTTAAAACTTGGCACAGTCCAGCAACGGTGGGCCAGCTTGGCGGTGTGGAGGGGCTGGAGCAGGGTGGCGCCCCCTCCTAATGGGACCTGTGTTCTCCAGTCTGCCCAGGGCCCTGCCATCACCCCTGGCTGTCACACCCCAGTGGCTTCGCTCAGTCGCCCGTTGGGCCCCACCCATTTGTGTTTTGACCCCTGGTGTGAACCGAGCCGGAGGTGAAGCCTGGATGAACCGTGGGAGCTGGGATCGGAAACCCCCCTGGGGCGTCCGCGGCTGTGGGCTGCGAGACCGGAGTCCCAGGTCCCTGAGCCTGGGTGGCTGGGGGATCTGGGGTGAAAGACTTCCTGCTCCTGGGCCTCAGTTTGTCCCTTCCATGAAAGGGGAGAGGAGGAGGAGGAAGATGGCAAAAGTCCCTTGCAGCCCTGCCGGGCAGAGCAGGCCTTTGACACATCCTCTGAAACCCACCCACCACCCACTGACGGCCGCGAGGAGCGTGCGGAAGGAGCGCGAGGACCCACAGAGGGAGGAGGTCCTCCTGGGAGCGCCCAGCGGCTGGCAGCGGAGCCCAGGCTGGGACCTGCTCTCAAGAGGACAGCGCCCCCCTGGACGGGGGCGGCGTGGGAGGGGCGTGTGGGGGACAGAATGTCCCCCCAGGGCCTCCTCTTGCAAATAAGGTGCCTTTTGCAAAAACTACCATCGTCACCCCAAGTGTGGAATAAAATAAACTAAAGAAACAAATCAAGGCAGACAGACTTCCTGGGAGCCTCTGTCAGGGACTGCAAGTGCTGCCGTCCGCCAGGCCGTCAGAGACGCTGCGACGGCGAAGGAGGAGGCAATCAGAGCCAGATCGGCCTGAGCCTTGAAGGCCGCGGTGAGGGCTTGAGATCCAGGCTCTGGTGGTTCGGTTCACTGTGTGTCTCCCTCTCTTCCTGACGACTGGAGTTCTGCCCCCTCCTCTCGCTGCTTCCCTAGCTGTCGGTCGGGGTCTCTGTGCCCCTCTCTCTGGATCCAGCCCTCGGGCTGGCGGGGCGGGGCGCGAGGCCCCAGGTGGCAGCTCCGCCCTCCCGGGAGCTGCGGGTCCACCGCCTCGCTGGGCTCCCGGAGCGGCGCGGCAGTCTGCCTGGCAACCCGTGACGCCACGCGGAGGCTGCCTCCGGGTTGGCTTGGCGCCCCCTGGAGGCGGGACAGTTTCCGGCTCTAAGGGGCTTTTGGAAAAGGCGGAGGGGGGAGCTGGGAAGGAAGAAAACCCGGAGGGACTTGTCTTCCCTACCACCGGCTCCTTCACCCTTCATTACTCCCCCCCCCCCAACACCGTCTTCGCCGTCACCCCAAGCCCCCCGAGCGCTTCCCCGCCCTCCTCCCCACATCACCTGGTGTACGCAAGACCCTCTCCGCCCCCATCCCCTCCCCCTACCTCCTTCGCCTCCTCGACCCGGCGTCCAGCCTCCACCACCCCCATTCAGAAAGCCACAGGTCCCCCTGCCGGGAAGGGCGCCAACGTCCGGGCAGCCCTCCAGGGCCTTCCCGGCCTCCCCGCCCGCCCCCGCGGGGGGCACCCGCCCCTCCCCCGCGTCTGGTGCCCGCCGCGCCCGCTCCGGGAACCGCCGCGGCGAGCGGGCCAGGCGCGGTCCCAGGAGAGGAGGCGGCCAGCCTGGGGTCCTAGGTGGCCGGGGCCCCAGGCCTTCGGGTGTGCCCACGCCCGGGCGCTGGCCTCCGGAGTCCCCGAGCCCCAGTGCCCTGCCGGCGGGCACGGAGACCTCCTTCCCCCCGCAGCCGTCCTGCCTACGCTGGGAAACCGGACCCTCCCTCCCGGCTCTGGTTTCCCGAAAACTCCTGACTTGCAGATGCTAAGAATGGCTTTCTAGACCCCGTCTTCCCTCCCCTCCCCCCAGGCCGGAATTCTGGCTCCCAGCTCTCACCCTTTCTAGACCCCAGCCCCTGGCCGTCCCTCCTCCTAGGACCTAGGAGTCCAGGCCTTCATCCTTCTCCTTCCTCCAGGACCCAAAATCTGGGCCCCAGGTCCCTTCTGCCCCCAGACCCAGGAGTCCAGGCCCCCAGCCCCTCCTCCCTCAGACCCAGGTGTGGGAACCCCAGCCCCCTCCTCCTAGGGGACCTGGCATCCAGCCACCGCCTTGTCCAGCTGTTATTTCTCGCCCTTTAGAACACGAGGGTGGAATGTGGGGCGGCAGGGGAGGGTGGGGAGGCACATCCGATGCCTCCCAGAGCCTCCTGGGAGTCTCTGGCCTCCTTAAAGGGCTCCCCCTGGGGGCCCACCTGTCCTCCCCAGGGCCCAGCAGGACACAGCTGCTGTCAGAGGAGCGGGAGGAGGTCCGCCGACATGCCTGAGGCAAAACCAGGTGGCTTTCCGGTCTCCCTCCCTATGTGGAGATGCATCCTCTTTTCCGAGTGGGGGACCAGGGGCCCCTCTCTTTGTGGGTTTGGGAGGATGCGGTGCCTTCTCTGTGCGGGGAGGGGTTCCTTCCTTGTGTTGGGGTGGGGGGTCCCCTTCCCTGTGCCGCTAGGGCATTCCTTTCTCTGTAGGGAGTTGAGGGCCATCTATGGGTGCAGATGGACATTCTCTGTGAATTTGAGTCCCTTTTTCTCCATGGGGATGGGAGTCCTGTGGATGTAGATTGGGGAGTCTTTGCGTGGCGATTAGGGTCCTCCACATTTGGGGATGGGGGCAGCTGGGAGGGGACCGGAGCCACTTCCCTGAGGATTGGGGCGATTCTCTATAGGAGAATGGGGCCCTGGTGTGTGTAGAGGTGAGGGGTTCCTGTCTGCGTGGTGAGCAGAGCTCTTCTCTGTCCAAGGATGAGGGCATCTTGTTTCTATGGGAACTGAGGCTTCCCCAGGTAGGAATTAGGGGACCATCTCCATCTAGGGGCCGGAGCACCTTTCTTTATTTGCAGTTTGGGGGCCCTTCTTTCAGTCGGACTGGGGAGCATTTCTTTATATGAGGTGGGGGCTTTCCCTCTATGCGGGAGTGAACAGGAGAGACACAGCCCCAGGAGGACTCCTCCTTCTGGGGTGTCCAGTCTGCTGGCACCAGGCCAACCAGGCTCTGGGGTGGGAGTCCAGCCCCTTGGTGTAGCTGGAGCCCTGGAGGGCCGGGAGCCAGAAGACAGAATAGATGAAAGATGCTGTGGTCAGCACAAGGTGTCCAGTTTCCAGCCCAGAGGAAGAGCTAATTATACCCCCAGAACCCAAAAGGTCAGGGCCTGGTGGCCTGGGTGGCAGGGGCATGGCCTGTCTGGGGAAAGAGGCAAGGGGAAATCTGATCACACAGATTCTCGGGATTGGAGATAAATTTACGTCTGCATGGGCAAGACTCCTGCGTCTGAGGGAGGAGGGGCTGGGGGCCTGGACTCCCGGGTCTGAGGGAGGAGGGGCTGGGGGCCTGGACTCCTGGGTCTGAGGGAGGAGGGGCTGGGAGCTGGACTCCTGAGTCTGAGGGAGGAGGGGCTGGGGGCCTGGACTCCTGGGTCTGAGGGAGGAGGGGCTGGGGCTGGACTCCTGGGTCTGAGGGAGGAGGGGCTGGGGGCTGGACCTCTGGGTCTGAGGGAGGAGGGGCTGGGGACCCAGACTCCTGGGTCTGAGGGAGGAGGGGCTGGGGGCCTGGACCTCTGGGTCTGAGGGAGGAGGGGCTGGGACCCAGACTCCTGGGTCTGAGGGAGGAGGGGCTGGGGGCCTGGACCTCTGGGTCTGAGGGAGGAGGGCACTAAGCGCATGCTCAACTATGAATGTCTACCTCTCAGCGGCCAAAAAGGCCCCCGAAAAGAAAGATGCTGCCAAACCAGCTCCCAAGGAAGCCCCCCCCAAGGAGGCTCCTGCAGAGCCCCCCAAAGGTGAGATGGCGTTCAGGTGGGCTCTGCAGAACTTGCCACCTGATCCCCCTGGCTCCCCTCACCTCTCTGCACCCTCCCTGCTCTTTCCCCTTTATCCTTTCTCCCCACAGCTCCAGAGCTGACCCGCCGCTCCCCTGCTCACAGCCCCGCATGGCTCCCCAGTGCCCCCAGGACAGAGCCCAGCCCCTCGGCCTGGCCCTCAAGCCCCCAGCAACTGGCTGATTCATCACGGCTTCCTGCCCAGCTCTGAATGCCCCAGTCCATCTTTACACCCCTCATACCCCAAAGCCCCATTCCAGACCGCCCAGTCCACCACCCTCCACTTCACAGATGAGGAAACTGAGGCCCAAAGGGGTGGGGGAGCCTGGCCATGGTCATGCAGCTGCCTGGGTGATGTGCGGTCTTTCTCAGGTCAGGAAAAGCCACTTCACCCCATGCCCTATGGCTTTTGAGCAGAGTCCCTCGCTAGCTCTAAGCCCCGCCCCCAAAGTGGCCTGTGGCCCCCTCCCCAGACTGCCTCAGACTCCCTAATTCTGTCTCCTGAGCAGAAGCCCCTCCTGAGGACCAGTCTCCCACTGCTGAGGAGCCCACTGGCATTTTCCTGAAGAAACCAGACTCTGTGTCTGTGGAGAATGGTGAGGGGGGTCTGAGGGAGGAGAGGGTGGGGGCCAGACTCCTGAGTCTGAGGGAGGAGGGGCTGGGGCTGGACTCCTGAGTCTGAGGGAGGAGGGGCTGGGGCTGGACTCCTGGGTCTGAGGGAGGAGGGGCTGGGGCTGGACTCCTGAGTCTGAGGGAGGAGGGGCTGGGGCCTGGACTCCTGGGTCTGAGGGAGGAGGGGCTGGGGCTGGTCTCCTGGGTCTCAGGGAGGAGGGGCTGGGAGTTCCAACTTCACAGTTCTCTCTGCGGAGTCTAAAGGTTCCTGTCCGGCCCCTCCCTCCCGTCCCACACCTCCCACCTCCCACCCAGGAAAGGACACGGTGATCGTGGCCAAGGTGAACGGAAAGGAGCTCCAGGGCAAACCAACCTTCAAGTGGATCAAGGGGAAGTGGCTAGAGCTGGGCAGCAAGAGCGGGGCCCGATTCACCTTCAAGGAGTCCCACGACCCTGCCAGCAATGTGAGGACCCTGTGGGGACGTGGGGGCATGGGGGCCAGGGCTGGAGGCTGTACGGGCCCTGCTTCTCAGAAGGCCTATTGCCTGAGGCGAGACTGCGGGCCTGGAGCCCTGTAGATGGACAATGGGGGCTCCATGGGTGGAGGTTGTGCGGGGCTGCTCAGTAGAGGTTGTGCTGGGCAGGAGGGGAGAATGTCGGGTCAGGGCAAGGTGCAGTTGGGCACTGCCCATGCACTCCCAGAAAGATCTCAGGGGTCAGGGATGTGGGCCCCCAGGGGTCAAGACTGTCCAGGCATGGGAAGAGACAGCTGGCCCCTCCCGTGGGGCAGGGGTGAGGACTCGAAGAACGAGCTGTGGGGTGGGCTCTTGGGGAGGTGGGGTGGTGCTGGGGGGTGGTCGCGTGCCCCCACAGCCCTGGCGCTGGCCCGCAGGTGTACACCTTGGAGCTGCACATTGGGAAGGTGGTCCTTGGGGACCGTGGGGATTACCGCCTGGAGGTCAAGGCCAAGGACTTCTCTGACAGCTGTGGCTTCAACATCGATGTGGAGGGTGCGTTGGTGGGGGTGGGGGCCTGGGGTGCGGGGCTGGGATCCGGGGACTATGTACCAGCCAGGTGTAGGCGAGCAGACAGATGTGGGGACGAGGCCAGCACAGGTCTTTGGGGAAAGAAGTCCAGATGGAGGGTGTATAGGCTCCGGGGGTTTGCAGCCCAGGATGTGTGAGGCCTTAAACATGGAGGGCACAGGGAATGAGGTTGCCCAGGCCTGGGGAGAAGGGCGTGCTGGC